CTTACTGAATGAGGGAGGCAACGTAATGACAGAGGATGTGGAAAAAACTAATGTACTCAATGCTTTTTTTGCCTCTGTCTTCACGAACAAGGTCAGCTCCCAGACTACTGCCCTGGGCAGCACAGCATGGGAAGGAGGTGACCAGCCCTCTGTGAAGCAAGAAGTGGTTCGGGACTATTTAGAAAAGCTGGACGTGCACAAGTCCATGGGGCCAGATGCGTTGCATCCGAGAGTGCTAAAGGAGTTGGCGGATGTGATTGCAGAGCCATTGGCCATTATCTTTGAAAACTCGTGGCGATCGGGGGAAGTCCCGGACGACTGAAAAAAGGCTAATGTAGTGCTCATCTTTAAAAAAGGGAAGAAGGAGGATCCTGGGAACTACAGGCCAGTCAGCCTCACCTCGGTCCCTGGAAAAATCATGGAGCAGGTCCTCAAGGAATCAATTCTGAAGCACTTAGAGGAGAGGAAAGTGATCAGGAACAGTCAGCATGGATTCACCAAGGTCAAGTCGTGCCTGACTAATCTAATTGCCTTTTATGACGAGATAACTGGCTCTGTGGATGGGGGGAAAGCGGTGGACGTGTTGTTCCTTGACTTTAGCAAAGCTTTTGACACAGTCTCCCACAGTATTTTTGCCAGCAAGTTAAAGAAGTACGGGCTGGATAAATGGACTATAAGGTGGATAGAAAGTTGGCTAGATTGTCGGGCTCAACGCGTAGTGATCAATGGCTTCATGTCTAGTTGGCAGCCGGTATCAAGTGGAGTGCCCCAGGGGTCGGTCCTGGGGCCGGTTTTGTTCAATATCTTCATAAATGATCTGGAGGATGGTGTGGATTGCACCCTCAGCAAGTTTGCAGATGACACTAAACTGGGAGGAGAGGTAAATACACTGGAGGGTAGGGATAGGATACAGAGGGACCTAGACAAATTAGAGGATTGGGCCAAAAGAAATCTGATGAGATTCAACAAGGATAAGTGCAGGGTCCTGCACTTAGGACGGAAGAATCCCATGCACCGCTACAGACTAGGGACCGAATGGCTAGGCAGCAGTTCTGCAGAAAAGGAGCTAGGGGTTACAGTGGACAAGAAGCTGGATATGAGTCAACAGTGTGCCCTTGTTGCCAAGAAGGCCAATGGCATTTTGGGATATATATGTAGGGGCATTGCCAGCAGATCGATGTGATCGTTCCCCTCTATTCAACATTGGTGAGGCCTCATCTGGAGTACTGTGTCCAGTTTTGGGCCCCACACTACAAGAAGGATGTGGAAAAATTGGAAAGAGTCCAGCGGAGGGCAACAAAAATGATTAGGGGACTGGAACACATGACTTACGAGGAGAGGCTGAGGGAACTGGGATTGTTTAGTCTGCGGAAGAGAAGAATGAGGGGGGATTTGATAGCTGCTTTCAACTATCTGAAAGGGGGTTCCAAAGAGGATGGCTCTAGACTGTTCTCAGTGGTAGCAGATGACAGAACAAGGAGTAATGGTCTCAAGTTGCAGTGGGGGAGATTTAGGTTGGATATTAGGAAAAACTTTTTCACTAGGAGGGTGGTGAAACACTGGAATGCGTTACCTAGGGAGGTGGTGGAATCTCCTTCCTTAGAAGTTTTTAAGGTCAGGCTTGACAAAGCCCTCGCTGGGATGATTTAATTGGGGATTGGTCCTGCTTTGAGCAGGGGGTTGGACTACATGACCTCCTGAGGTCCCTTCCAACCCTGATATTCTATGATCTCACAGAGTCACGTATCAGCTAGAGATCTGAAGGCCTAGGGTTCAAATGTTGCTGATAACATGTGAGGTGACCCTTTGGTTACACATGACAGAATTCCTAATTTTCCAGTTTTCTTTTTAAAAAATGTGAAAAGAATTCTCACAATATGAGACAATGTGCTCAAAAGCAAGAAAAAAAAGAATTAGTCAATTAAAGTGCCTTGCACAAAAATATGTTCCTCACTATGGCCATCTGTCACATGTCAATGGCTTGTGTCACACCCAGGCAGACTTGAAAGGTAAGAAATTTGATAGCTTTAGGGTATCTCTGCACTGCAGTTGGGAGGTGCAATTCTCAGCTCAGGGAGACGTACATGACTAGATCTCTGCAGCCAGCATGCTAAAAATAGTAGGGTTGCAGTGGTGTGGGCTAATACATACCTAGGATCTTGAATGGGGCTGTATTCAGGTGGCTAGCCTGAGCTGCTGCCTGTCCACCACAGCCACACTTGTGTTTTGAGCACTGAAGCTCGGGCAGAGCTAGCGTGTGTATGTCTACCCTAGCTGGGAATTACACCTCAAAGCTGCAGTGCAGATATAGCCTTAGTGAGATGGTAGCATCCTCCTTGAGGAGGATTTATGGCTTCAGTCCAGTTAACAATGGCCAACAGTGGCCATCTTTACTAGGGGAAGGTAGATGGTAATGAGTTTTAAGAATATGGGGAGTTTGAATGACAACAAATCAGGCATTTCCTAGCAGAACGGGCTCAAAAAAGTGAGATACTGAATTCTAAGGTTCCATTTTTAAATTAATTTTAGCAAACTAAATCAAGATTTAGTCAAAAATCCTGAAAACAAATAATCTTTACTCACCAGTGCAAGGTTAGTTTGGAAAAGACACATTCTTCAGAGAAAAAAGGCCAAAATCCCTACTTTAAGTGAAAAACACAACCTAACCTTAATACAGGAGGTATACTGGACCTTGAATTCTATAAAGGAATCTCCTTTCTCCAGCTGTGACATGCCCAGAGCATGAGGCTGGCCAAACCTCTACCACATGCCACAAGAGCCTCAAATTCTGCATTCCATAAAGACGGAATGCTGTGCCCCCCAACACACTTGCTCTGGTTTTATAAATGGTCTCAGGGGATTTCAGAAGATGGCAGAAAATCATCATAGAATCATAGAATATCAGGGTTGGAAGAGACCTCAGGAGGTCATCTAGTCCAACCCCCTACTCAAAGCAGGACCAACCCCAACTAAATCATCCCAGCCAGGGCTTTGTCAAGCCTGACCTTAAAAACTTCTAAGGAAGGAGATTCCACCACCTCCCTAGGTAACGCATTCCAGTGTTTCACCACCCTCCTAGTGAAAAAGTTTTTCCTAATATCCAACCTAAATCTCCCCCACTGCAACTTGAGACCATTACTCCTTGTTCTGTCATCTGCTACCACTGAGAATAGTCTAGAGCCATCCTCTCTGGAACCCCCTTTCAGGTAGTTGAAAGCAGCTATCAAATCCCCCCTCATTCTTCTCTTCCGCAGACTAAACAATCCCAGTTCCCTCAGCCTCTCCTCATAAGTCATGTGTTCCAGACCCCTAATCATTTTTGTTGCCCTTCGCTGGACTCTCTCCAATTTATCCACATCCTTCTTGTAGTGTGGGGCCAAAACTGGACACAGTACTCCAGATGAGGCCTCACCAATGTCGAATAGAGGGGAACGATCACGTCCCTCGATCTGCTGGCATAATAAATTCATAATACAGAACAGACAGTAAGAACGTGAATGGTAGCTGACAAACTAACCTTTTTATGCTCAATTTAGAATTGTCTATCGCATGAAACTGAAGGAAAGAAACATACAACTGAGACCAAAGGTCAACCCTCCCCATTAACCCCAAACCCAATAAAACCCAGCAAGGGTTAGTTAATGATTGGAGCAACAGCAACTCCAGGGGTCTAATACTGGCTTTATTCAATCCTATCTAGGTTCGTATACTTTGTTCATCAGCTGATCAACTTTGAGACTCATCTGTCAAACACATTCACACTGACTTCCACTGTGTCCTTGGCTAAATCACAACCACAGTTGGCTGAAATTGGAAAGTTTGGGGGTTTTGATTGTTTTCATCCAAATTCAGAACAAAAACAAATTTACTAAAATTTTCTGACAAACCAGAGATGCCCAAAACGTTCATTTCAGAAACACTGAAATGCTGTGCTCTTGAAAGGAAATGTGAAACTGACAAGAACATGAATTTCAATAAGTTGTTCCACTGCAGGGTGCCTGCCAGCCACAGAGACATGGCTTCATGAGTAAAATTGACAACCTTCCAGCAGGCTGAGACCAGCAGCGCTGCCTCCTCACCAACCCCCCAGCTCTGGGAGCCAGAAAGGCACTGCGAGTCCCCCAGAGCTAAGGTTGCCCTGGGACTTTGTCTCTCTGTGCACAAGAAATAGATTGAGGCAGTGTGCTTGCTGATCTGCTTTTCCACACCCTGGAGCTAAAGGAAGGCGAGGAGGCAGAGCGTTAGGGCACACTGCTGTTTCAATGGAAGTTTAGCTAAATATGTAGCAGCTACAGTGAAACATTTCACTCACCAAAGCGACATTTTCTGATGAAACTAAGTTTTGTTGGAAAATTTTCACCAGCTATAGTCACCACCTCTCAGCTTCTGCTTCCAATATGTAAAACGGGATCATCAGCATTTACACTCATAACAGTGCTGCAGAGATTGTGGTTTGTAAAGCTCACTGAAGGTGATACCAAGAAGTAGAGGTGTAACAATACAAACTGTCTCACTCTCGGCTTTAAAATAAAAGGTTAAGTAGGTTTAACTGACTTGAAATGGTGTGATTCCCCCCCCTCGGAAGAAAAAAAATTATAATTGCTACACCAAATTTTGAAACATAAAACAAAATTTTTGTTTCTGTACCTAACATGTACATATTACACAAACAATACAAACTGTCTTCCGAGGGGGGGGAATCACACCATTTCAAGTCAGTTAAACCTACTTAACCTTTTATTTTAAAGCCGAGAGTGAGACAGTTTGTATTGTTTGTGTAATATGTACATGTTAGGTACAGAAACAAAAATTTTGTTTTATGTTTCAAAATTTGGTGTAGCAATTATAATTTTTTTTCTTCCGAGGGGGGGGAATCACACCATTTCAAGTCAGTTAAACCTACTTAACCTTTTATTTTAAAGCCGAGAGTGAGACAGTTTGTATTGTTTGTGTAATATGTACATGTTAGGTACAGAAACAAAAATTTTGTTCTAACTTACCTGTTATTGTTCCGACAGTTCCGGCAATTGATGCACTCCGAGGGATCGGTCTGAGGCACTGCTGTGTACATTCCACCACCCTGGAGGAAGAAGGGGAAAGAAACAACCCAAAATGAATGGCAACATAGGCATACAAGATGTAGTCTATGATAAATGGGCACAATGTACGTTAACCCCCAGGACTTCTCATTTAATTTTGAATCTTAATCACCTTATCAATCTTCAGATCTGTGTTTTGTAATGTGGCATGGGAATACTGAGCTTCTATTATACAAAGTCTAGCTGAGTTTTCTGCCAGCATTTGTGTCAGAGAAAAGTAAATAACTGTACCTTAGACAAGTATGTAGTAATTTCCCTGGCTTATTTTCAGTCTAATATGTCCAGGTTTAATTTAATAAACACACTGTAAATATGTTTATTTTTAACGCTGATGACAGACATGAAAGCAAATTCCTATTCATTAGAGAACTGTGCCCCGTTTGGGGTGACAGGGTGTTAAATATTCAGGGCTGATGTCACAACATAAACCCATCCCACTTTCCTGTAATTACTCCGATTAGATCAGTTTACTTCACTAAACAGACTTTTGAAACATTTTATATTTTTACAGATGGGGTAATTCCTTCGCCAGCAATGACTCTGGGGTGCGAGGGATTTTGTGTTGTTGGTTTTGGCTGAACAGGCCCATTGCAAGCAAGTAAAATGGCCAGATTAACACATACCTCATTGTTAAATACTAGGCGGACACTGATGTGAGTCATTTGAAAATGGTACTGTGCTGTTGTGTTACAATTCTGCATTTTCTTAAGGGGCGCGAGTTTGGGAAAACTAATTCAACCTCTGAGTTTGAGTTAAGTTGCATAACTGCTTCTTCTCCAGTATTTCTTATTTTCGTATGTCTCTGCACCGGGTCTGGTCCTACATTTTGCAGACCTGTGCACTTATATGTGTGGGACCTGTGGGACCACTCACACCATGTCTCTTCCCCAGGCCTCTTTTCTTCATTTTCCCCAAACACTGGAGCATTAAGAGGGATGCCAGTAAGAATGGGGATATAAAGTTCCTTTGCTCTGTATTGTGATTATGTAAGTCTCACTTGTTCTGTGCAGGAGTGGTCAGCTGCGGACATCCTTGTCTCAACAACCTTCCACACCATTCCAAATGGGGAGATGAAAAGAAAGGCAGGTATTTACAAGGGACAGTCCTCTAGAAACATTACGTCCTGTGGTGCTCTCATGGGCCTACTCCACCCAGAACAGCGCAGGGATCTGCAGATCAGCCCCACATACGTGCACCTGGAACACAGGGTCCTATGTGGTTGTACACCATGTACATAAGCTTAGGGCAAGCCTTGCTCTGTGATTTCTACCTGGAAGAAGGGACCCCAAAATATTAGCCACAGAGTTCATAAGAAAGCCTGTCTGTATAGTATCTACAGTCCATGCAGCATCCAGATATCTGGAGAACCACATCTGTGTGCTTGTCTAAACCAAAATACCAAAGCTTTTGAGGATCCCCATTGCTAATGTTGGTTAGATAGCTTTACAACATAAGAAATCTTTTGGCCATGGTTGTTCTTTTAGGTAAAGGAAAAACTGCACCTTTGGTACTTAAACTGTGGCGCAAAAAGGAGACCATGTGATGAGATGAATAGTCCACGTTCCAACCTGGAGTTATCTGAAGTGGCAACTACTGTGTAAGTGGCAATTTGCTGTTGAATAAAATGAAGTACTTGTGTTCAATTACTAAAGCAAACAATCGTTCCATTTTTTCCCCTTTGGAAACAGCATTCATTACATAGACTTTTTGAACTTTTCCTGGGCAACGTTCACAGTTTTGAGTAGAACCAGTGATAAAAGTGGAGTAAGTCTGAAAGTAACCCACCTGTTTCCACAGACAATAATGAAATCATTATTCTCTCTTGGAAATGGAACACGTTTCAGAAAATTAAATATTTTTCCACAGCACACAAAGGCTGGATCACAGGTTAAGACCAGTTTTTGTTACTTCAAGAAATTAGTCTCAAAAGTTGCAAATAAGGGACTCAGTAAGGCAGACTTATTTATTATGTTGTTGTATTTCAAGACCGGAGGGACTTTTTCTTTTATGAGACCCCAGCTATGTGCATGCTGTGGTAAACTTAATAGCACAGCTTACAAATCACAGATCTGAAACAGGTGTGTGTGTGTTTGTGGGGAACAGTCAATTTGTGAAGCTGAAAACTCAGGAACCATCATTAAATCTGATAGAAAGACTGAGAAATACCATATATACAGTACAGTATCTCAATCCAGCATTGCACGAGTCTCAAAACTCTCAGACTAAAAACAAGGGTAAGAGGAGACTCCCCAGACTAAATACAGTTATTGGTGCCTCTAATCCTAATCTCCACAGGAAAGCCCTGAAGATGAAAGTATGAGAAACACCATGCCCAGCTACTTCCACTGGAACAAAGATGGGGTAACTGGTAGTTGTTAGCTCCAGCACAAAGACTTTAGTATTTCCACAACTGACTTGACTTGCTGGAGCTTCCTTTCACACCGTGAATAAAATTCCAAAGTCAAGATCAGGACCCTTACATCATATGTGAGTCAAAGCACTCTTACATTCACTAAATGATGGGGATGTTCATAATCCATGTGTGTCCTGGATAGAGAGTTGGTGTGCCCTGGGTAAAGGCCAGTCCCTCCAGTCAAGCCACCATTCATGATCCCATTAACTCCATTGGGAACCTTGTGATGGAGGTGTGGACAGCCATTACTGAGACTACCATTGCTGATGAAGTTTCCATGTATGCTGCCATTGACGCGGCTTGTGCCTGGTAAAGTAGCGTATTCGACCATTTGCCCATTGATATCTGCACCTTGATAGAGGTAACCAGGAGGGTCATACTCTGCAAAGAGAGACCCACAGGGAAAAAATTAGAACACTTTGTTAGCATAATTTTGCTAAGTATTCAATGTATGATTAAAGAATATTTTATTTTTCATCATACTTCTAAAACCAAAGTCAGATGAGTGTTTCAGAGATACAGAAGTGACTCATCTAACCCTTTTCAGGGTTTTTATAGTAGCCACAAATTGTAACATCTAAGTGCTTAATATGCAAATGTTTTCCATCTCTACAATAGCTATGTCCACACACTAATCCTCTTGGTCTGGAAAGAATTTAGCAGAAGATGTTGCTCTGTAAAAATAGGATTTTAAAACAGGATCATTTGCATGATCAACTCTATGGCAGAGACAATTTAACTTATTTTGGTCCTGCTCAGTTTCAAAGGAAGTTTTGCATAATTTGGGTTTGCTGGTGGGGAGTATGGATCATATTTAAAGCACCACAGACGGTACAGATAAAGCTAATTAAAGTACCAGAAACAGAGGGAGCTATTTAAAATGTCACATAAGACTCAGCTTGCTCAGAGTATTTGCTGGGAATAGAAGCGGATAGCTTTTGTACGGTGCTATAAACTAGTATTCCATAGTACTTCACAGTGCGTTTCTAGTCAGAAACTGGCAGGTTTCTGCTTATTAACAGCTGCTCCACAGCCTGTCGCCAGTACTACAATGAGCCTCAAAAAAAGTGCCACAAGATCTTTCCCTTTATCTGGAAAAATAAGAGCGAAGCAAAAAGAATGTTGGCTTTATACGGCTACCTAGAAAACCACTTACGCACATGCTTAAGTCTAAGCATGGGAGTACTGCCACTGAAGACAAAGGGACTATTAATATGCTTCAAGTTAGGCACATGTCTAAACATGTTGCCAGATCAGGGCCTCAATAACTTATCCAAAGAATGGCATCTTCAACAGTGCAGCAGAACACTGCAGCAATCTATACATGGCTCAATCCTCTAATGGGACTCAATGCAGAGAAACAGACACATTACTACTTTCACAAATTCCTTCATCACGCCATGTTCCTTTAGTAACACGTAAGTGAAGAGTTTCTATGACTAACCAAATACCAGTTTGACCATAACAGAGAGTATGCATTTGGAGCATTCAATATAAAGCTCCATATTTATTGTCTAACTTTCATTACCATCATATTTTTTCATATTAAACTTGGACTGGGAGGAGAGGAAACCAAGAATAACTTACTCTGCATGGCGTTTTGCTGGCGATTCTTCCACAGACACATGGCAATGAAAACTATCAGAATAAGGACCATCACTCCAAGGACACAGCCCACAATCAGATATAGCATGTCACTGCTCCGAACAGGGCCATTTGATGGGCCAGCATTGCCTCCACCCCCACGATCAGGAGAATTAGGTGGTGTACTCAGGTCCTTCACTGGATATTCCGATGCTCCAGGTGTGCGTTTCACTGGTTGAAATACAGGAGACACACATGGTCTTGTGAACCCAACTTGGAATGAGAAGTCTGCAGAAATGTTATTCTACATGTGTTTATTTATCTGTTATTCAACTGTACAGTTATGAAGTGGAAATATCTACCATTGAATTTAGTATCCCAATGATTTGTAGACAAATTTTCAGCTCAAGATTTTTACATTAGCTGATGAGGTCAACTAACACTGGATGATAACTGTTTGTCTTAGAACATGCCTATTATCTACCTACTCATAACCCATGTATCTAAGCCAGGTTATACTTCAACAAGCAATTGAATGTAAGCATTGCTCGAGACGGCACTAGCTTCCAACCAGAAAGAACACAAATCTTTCCACTTCTGAGGTCAGGAAAAACCACAATATGCATTTCTGTCAACTAACCATTGCCAGACGCCTTACTTCTATCTGATGTGAACCCTGCTAACCTTTACTGTTTTCAAAACTGCATTCTTCTGGAAATGAACAACCAGGTAGAAATCTTACAAAATTCAAGACGACGTCAATATGACACCTGCACTACAGTGAAAGGCACCATTTCAACAATTATATATTTGCTGGCTGCTAAGTAAATACATACTGAATTGTAGCCACTCTGTGCTCCCCAAAACAATGTAAAGAATTATTGGTAATTAATTTTGCAGGACTAAATTTTTCCATCAGTGAATGTTACAACCAAGATTTTAAATGGGGGTTTGTACTGAACATTTTCAATATTGTATTTATAGCATTAGAATTTGTTTTGCTAAAGGTTAGCTCATGCTTAGGGAATCTAATAGAGAACAGTAAGACCAAGTTAGCTTTTGAGTGTTAACTACCTCTTTGAACCGAAATGACCAAAACAAGCCCCATTCAGTGTCTAGAGTCTCGTCAACATTCACCAAAAAGAAGGGGCCCAAAAGGCTGCTTGTGTGGGTGACCCCTTCCAGAGCCAAGTCAAGAAGGATCAAGGCTAGAGCACGGGGGCAGAGGCAATGCTTGCTCTCATTTGGGGTTATTGCTTACGGCCCCAGATTGCCTTGATTTGGTCCTAAAAGAGGTCATAAGAACACAAGAACGGCCATACTGGGTCAGACCAAAGGTCCATCTAGCCCAGTATCCCGTCTTCCCACAGTGGCCAATGCCAGGTGCCCCAGAGGGAACGAACAGAACAGATAATCATCAAGTGATCCATTCCGTCGCCCATTCCCAGTTTCTGGCAAACAGAGGCTAGGGATACTTCAGAGCATGGTTCTGCAATCACTTAAAGGAAATGTCAATATGAATATTTGACAGCAGGTTGTCCCCCCGGTATAGTCTTAAAATCTTGAGGAATTACAGAGCTGTTGATAACTAAGACAGACTCTGGGTAGGATATATTCCACCAGATGTAGGTGGTCTGAGAGATTGCAGCTCCCAGCCCTGCCCTGTAAGGTAATAGGTATTGCACGGTAAGTTTGACGTGCATGCTTGTAGACTCTTCTCAGAAGTAGTGCATTTGAAGCCGTATTTTACTTTTAGTGTCAGCATATTCCCTCTGCAACATAACTTGATTTTAAAGATTAATTTGCTTAAGAAACCAAAGTAACTGTGATCGTTAATTTCTTTTGCAAATAATTACTCTGACATTTTCAGAGAACAGTATTCCTATCTTCTTGCCAGAGGCAGGTAGAATTGATGTGAGTGGCAGCCAACTTATTCATCATGAATTAAGAATTTGAACAAGTCCTGAAGAGACAGTGTAGGCAGAAGTACATTATCTCCAGTAACCAACTAAGCTACAGCAAGATGGTGTCCGGCTAAGGAAAGACCACCAACGTCGGATGAACTGGGACTGTCAATATATCCAAAAGGTCTACACATCTTTGCAAACTATCTTTCCTGGAGACAAACACGTTGGTCTCTCCAGTCAGAAAACCTCAGCAATAGTAAATAAAAACAATCCTCCAAACATAATTATAGCAGATGGCATCAATTTTTAAAAATAATTAAATGAAAGGGTCAGCGAGTAATTTTCTTCTCAGGCTTTACATTTGACATTAGCTCTCAGACAAGCAAAAGTGTCCTCACTCACCTTTTGTCTCGCACATCATGACGTTGCTGTACTCACTTTCACCTCCCTCATTATAGCACTGCATTTTAATATCGTAAGAGGTTTCTGGCTGCAGGTGGCTTATCAAGTGCCACTGCTTTGTACCTAGAAAGAAAAATGAAACGAGATTTGTTTTGTTTGATATGAGACAGATGCGAGAGTGTGCGTGGGAGAGAAAATGTCTGAGTCATGGAAGAAAATATAGCATCATGCCCTTTTCACTAGGCAAAAGTACAATGCTGGGGTGTCACAGGCTTGCTTGGTGAGCACAGAAAGCATTATCTTTAAAAGATTATATCTTGTACTTTTAAACAGAGCAGGTGGAAAATCTTCAGGCAACGTTTTTCTGTTGGAAATGTCAGAATCCTTTGGTTTTGTTCTGCTTCTGAATGAAATAAATCTAAAAATCATGGCATTTCCTATGAAATGGAAATTCTGGTTGACACACAATTCTAATTTTAAAGACAAACTAATCTTGATTTCTTTCACTTGGAATTACTCTTTCCATCCTGAAAGACTCTTAAGCACTTTGCAAGCTACCTACATATACACAGGAATCTCTTCATCCATCATTCACATGCATGCCTTTAGGGTGGAATGTGCCAGCTGTTTAACAACGTACAATGTTCAGGGCAAGTAGTGAGGCAGACTACTGTATCAAACTGAAACAGGAGAAATTTAGGTAGACAGAATGTAATTATTCTCACATTAGAATTTGGCCAGAGTGCTGTGATAATACCCTGACTCTTTCAAGAGTACCATGGGATCTTCAGTAACCATAAATGCAAGGTCCCAGTTAAAATTCAAGTCACCCAATATTTTCACAGGAAGGAGTCATCTAAAGTCGATGTTATGACCTCTCCTATCTCAGTTAGTAGAAGCCACAAATAATTTAACTTATACCTCGTGAAACATACTAGGGAACACTCTCAGATAACAGGCCTGTCTTTCTCACTCTCCCAGTCTCTGGGGGCATGGACTCCAATCCAAGCAAGCTTTCCTAATAGAATGATTTTGTTAACTCTGGCTGCTAGCCAACCTTTCATTTAGACACCCTCCTGAAGTACAGAGCACTTCAGTATAAATCACTCTCCGTTTTTATTTTCACGGACTTGTGACAAATTTTAATAAACAGGGACCCTTTTTTGAGAGTTTAATTAACTGTTTGAGCACTTCTAATCCCTCTTGGAAAATACCACCTTGAACTGTTTCCACTGTTTCTAAGAAACTGTCATACCACCTACTGATTTAAGTATTAATTAAAAAAATAAAGCCCACTTGGCTGGAAGGGCTGTGCCATCAAGATTCCATTCTAACTCAACAGAATTAAAGCTGCAGTCCAATTCCCACTGTGTGGCACTAAAAATACCCTGTAAAGGACGATGGTTTTCACTCTACTACATGAGGAAGGCTCTTTTAAACTGCTTTCTTTCAGTGCTCTAAGTGGTGAACTACTATGAAACACAACTTTCACTTCACACACACTAAAATGAATAGATGCCCCAAATAATAACTTGTATTTAAATATTGGTTGATGCTGGAGTTGGCTTATTCCTAAAGCACATTTTTCCAAAGCTTTTTACTTCTGTCTCCTCTCTCCCTCCACCCCCAAACATTCCTTTCAGTAATTACTGTACCAGGTTTTAGGTTTCTGCTTCAAACCATTAGAGGAACTGGAATCTGTACAGACACTTTAACTGTGCTCTCCCTGCACCATTAGGAAGCGAAAACATTTAAACAAGACATCAGACTACATTTAGGGTTAACATTCAATCTCCAAGATCGAAGCAACAGGGAAAAATTCAGCCCATATAAGCAGGAAAGGGCAGGTTTAATTTTGCTTTTGCTGAAGGATACAAATACTGGAGAGCCATATGATGCAAACACACAAACATTTTTATAAAATTGCTTGTGGCTACTTTTATAGAGGAAAAACCTTCTGTAAGCTTTGGACTCTGTCTCAGAAGACAAGACTTAGCAGGAAATGTTCATGAAAGCTTAAGGCAACTCGTTAACTAACACAACCATCACAACAGCTTTTCCACACTAGTAAAAGAGTCTTTGCAAGATAAAATCTGCTGTCAAAACACTGATTTAAGAGTAACAGAGGGAAGACTGTGATTAGGCCAATGTAGCCATCTGTACGGGTTAACCAAAAGGCCTGGCACCTAAGTTAAGGATCACATGTTTCTCTATACTTCAATGTAAAAAAGAATCCAGTCACATTTGAATTGAAAATAGCTTTCACTATTTTACAGAAACGTGGTAAGAAAGCTTTAATGTTTCAAGTTGCCACCATGTGAATTTCAGTTGCAGGCTCTGGGACAGCTGAGCAGCTGCTAGTGGTTTCAGACTGCCACAAACATTTCAGTATGCATAAACTTGAAAATCAGGAATAAGCAAATTTCACAGCACAGTGGAGGCACACTTAAACAACTGCCCTGTGTGCAACGTTCATAAACACACAAGTTCTGCATCACAGAATGCTAAAATATGTTTACAGACAAAGATACTGACTGCATAAGCTTTGAAGCAACCCTCTGAGCACAAAAACTAGATATTTAACAGTCCTACTGTCTGAAAAAGCGTACATCACACCTTACAGTATTGTGCAGGCTATAGTCAAAGAAGGAAGAATTTGCAAAACAAGGGCCCGATCCTGCCTCAACTGAAGTCAATTGCAAAAAAACCCATTACCTTCAATGGGGCAAGATGAGGCCGCTACATTTATTTAGGCCAGATGATTGAGAGGGTGTTAAAAAATGTAAAATGTGACTACTTCTTCCATGAAAATGATGATCTAAAAGTTCCCAGCAAAACAACCCACTGGCTTACAATATCTGTTATCAATGTGTTCAAAAAGCAAAGCGGGAATTACGCTAAACTGTCAAATTAGCTAACATTTACTGAATGTGGCAATATCTTGGGCTCAGAGAAGCTCCCCTATAAACAAAGGGTAAAAAATTAAGCACCTACTAACAAGTAACTGGAGAGGGCTTCCCAATTTGCAACAGCAAATGGTTGTTACTTACTGTAGCTGGAGGTTCTTTGAGATGCATGGTCCCTATCTGTATTCCACACATGGGTATGCAGGGGTGCCATGCACCGGAGTCCAGAATGTCTTTGAAGCCGTGTCCGTTGATCCAAACACACGCAGTAACTCTCCTCGTGCTCCTAACCAAGCATGTAAAAGGCACTGCGGGACGACACCTCTCCAGTTCCTCCTCTTACTGCACTCCAGCTGGATCCGAAGCAGAGGGGATGGAGGGTAGGTAGTGGAACACAGATAGGGACCACACATCTCAAAGAGCCTCCAGTTACAGTGCGCAAGCTCCATTTCTTCTTTGAGTGATGGTCCCGACGTGTATTCCACACATGGGTGACTGTCAAGCAGCGTCGACTGGAGGAAGGTGCAAGGAAACTGGTAGAAGAGATGTCGGTAGTGCTGCCGTTCCTACGGCGGCATCTGCCATTGCTGCTTGAGTTAGAGCATAGTGTGATGCGAAAGTAGGGCTGGAACTCCAGAGGTGCTGCAGCGGACTGCCCAATAAGGATGCTGTGCAGGCAGGTTGCGCTCTATGGAGCGAGCTGCGATATGCCCAGGAGACGGAAGCTTTGCTATTTTGTAGCAGTCTAAGATGCTTCCCGAAACCCATTTAGAAATCCTTTGTGAGGATATGGCTTGTCCCCATGACCTTTCTGCCAAGACAAAAGAGAGTCTCAGATTTTCCAACAGGTTTGGTTTTCAGCACGTGGAATGCCAGGCTGCGCCTGATGTCAACGGAGTGAAATCTCTTCTCCTTGGAAGAAGCGTAGGATTTCGGGCAGGAAACATAAGTATCGTTTGACTGATGTGCAACTCGGACACAACCTTGGGGAGGAATTTGGGATGTAACCAAAGGGAAACCTTCTCCATGTGCAATACTGTATAAGGAGGGTCTGCCATCACGGCTCCCAGCTTACTAAACCTTCTTGTCAAAGTAATGGCTATGAAGATGGCTTCATGGACAGATAAGTCATGGCACATGTCACCAGAGGTTAGAAGGGTGGGCCTGTGAATGTTGAAAGGATACGGTTAAGGTATCATTGAGGCGTAGGTTTAATGTCTGGTGAGAAGGTCCTGATCAAGACCTCCATAAATCAAACTGTGGTCAGGTGTGTGAAGATAGACCATCCTTGCACCAGTGGGAGGAAGGCATTAACTGCTGGTAGGTGTACTCGCAGTGAACTGAGGGCTTTAAGAAGAGAAGACAGTCTAGGATAACTGAAATGCCTACAGTATCAAGTGAATGCTGGTGGTGATGTGCCCAGGCCAAAAATCGCTGCCATTTAGCCAGGTATCAGAGCCTAGTAGAATCCTTCCTGCTTTGGGTCAGGATTTCCTGAACAGGGAAGTCTTGGATAGTATTTTGGCCCTCCCTTGGGAATCCCAAAGAACGGAGCCACGAGTCCTTTCGCATGACCAGTCCTGTGGCCAAAGATCTGGATGCTATACCAGTGGCATTTACCGCACCCTGGGAAGCCACCTTTCCTACCAACCTCCCCTTGCCCAGAGAAGACTGGGACTGGGCTTGGTGTTCCATGGGGACTTTATCTTTAAATTCTGTGAGCCTGGTATAGGTGTTAAAATCATATTTGGCTAACAAAGCTTGGTAATTAGCTATACAAAATTGGAGGCCTGCAGAGGAGAAAACCTTCCTACCCAGGAGGTCCAATCTCTTTGACCCTTTATCTGCTGAAATAGATTTTTTGTTAGCGTGGCTGAACTCTCTCTGTAGCTGTCTGTACCACCAATGAATTAGGCGCAGGATGGGAAAACATGAAATCACCACCCTTTGGCTGGCACAGAACATCTTTTGGCTCTTTTTGGCATAGGGGCACAAATTACTGGTGTGTGCTAGACTGCTCTGGCCAGTTCTAATATGGCTTCATTGATTGGAAGGGCCATCCTGGTTGGTTCCTGTGGTTGCAAAAATGTCCAGGAGCCAACGTTAAGGATCCCTGGACCTCGTCTAGCAGGATTTGGAGATCATTAGTGATCCTTTGCCACAACTCCTGATGTTGCTGATAGTCATCTGGCAGAGAGGGCAATGAAGGGGTGCTGGCCTCCTCCAGGGATAATGAGGAGGCCCCCCATCGGAAGCATTTCTGGTTCTTCCTCCTCATACATTGAGGGGACCGGCTGATGGGAGGCAGAGAAGCGGAATGACTCCTGAGAGGTGTCTAGGGCACCTGCCATAGCGGTCCCTAAATGCATTGGCACCTATGGGAATCAATATCGGGGTCCCTTGGAGGGGGAGGAGTCATAACTGGAGGGATAATAATGCCTCAGCTGCGTCAGGTCTCCCGTACCCTCACAGAGATACTGGTGCAGCTATATCCTCTGACTCCTCCGATTTCAAGCATGGTTCTGTTGGTCTCTGATGGTACCATCAGTACCGATGTGCTCCTGCCCGATGGATGGAGATGGGACCTCTCCTGAGACAATGGTAACGGCTCCTCCACCGGGATAAGGATATCTGTCAGGCGGGCAGGGCCCGAAAGGAGTGGAGATTGTGGTCAGGGGAGGAAGATATCCTCCAGTGTTAAAAGTCTCCGTACGGCCCAGAGTCCGAGGAGTTCCAGTACAAGACACCTGAAGGACCCATTTAATCTGATGCAGCCAGATGGTCTTTGGATAGACAAGGCGGTAGCAACGACGAATCTGGGACTTGAACTCACAGACGGGACTGGCGAGTGATTATCTTTCCACCCCCGCTACTGCTGTCACTGCCAGATCACTCTTTTTCTGCACCTTACTCTCCAACCTGCGGGTTGAGCTGGTTCCGTGGGTTCCATATGCAACACTTCTCCTGACCTTGACCAGTTCGGGGAGGAAACACATTTTTTCTGGACAGTCTGCTGCAGGGATCTATCCTTATGCCCATGCGAGTGTCTCTTACTCTCACGGGGAGCCCTGTGTGACGAGTCCTTGGGCTTCGATGTTAAGGGCTCTGCTCCGAGGGTCATGTTTGGAGGGCCTTTGCTGGTTGGTGGAGGCCAATGTATAGTGGGGGCTCCTGGGCCCAGGTCGGAGTGGAGCCTCATAACTTCTTCCAGCAAGAACATTTTCAGTCAGAGCTTATGGGGCTCTCTAGGTCTGGGTAGGAAGGATTTACAGATACTGCACTTCGCAGAAACATGCATCATCCAGGCAGTGCAGGCCAGTGATACTCATCGCTGATGGAGAAGGAGCGAGGGCAGAAGATGCCGTTCTTGAATCCATGGACCCTGCACCTAGTCCCGTAACCAGGGCGGGGTGGCAGGGGAGTATTCTATTCTATATGAAACACTAAAATAGAATTTCTAAGCTAAGAGATAAACTATTTATAACTAAATTTTTACAGGTTCTGCAACAGCAAAGGAGGACACGATTCTGACTCGGGCCATGCAGTGGTAAGAAGGAACTGGAGAGGCATTCACCTGCATTGCCGATTATACCCTTGGTCGGGAGCACAAAGAAAGTTACTGGGCACATGCAGGCCAACGGGCACTGCTTTGAAGGAATTCCAGACTTGGGTGCAAGGTGTGCATACGCACCCACATGTGAAATACACATCGGGACCATCATTCGAAGAAGAACTGCGGGTTTATTTATCTTAGAAAACTTGCACCAGTGAAACTAAATCTAAAATCCATTTAATTACACGAGTGAAAACCCCTAACTGTTAGATGCATGTAAACTGGTTTAAAATCTCATTTTTGCCAGTTTATTTTATTTTAGTAAATTAGTGGATTAAGATAAACTGGTTTAAACGCATCTGCATTTAGGGCTTGCAATGATGCAGCCGGAACAATTTAAAAGTGGAATTTAAATTTACTAAGTTTGAACTATGGATGGAAGAAACAAGTTCATGCGGGAGCAGAATTTGGAGCTAAAAAGTTAAGATCTCTACTGCTGGTGAATATATTATTTAGAAAAAAGAAAAGGAGGACTTGTGGCACCTTAGAGACTAACAAATTTATTTGAGCATAAGCTTTCGTGAGCTACAGCTCACTTCACTGGATCCAATGAAGTGAGCTGTAGCTCACGAAAGCTTATGCTCAAATAAATTTGTTAGTCTCTAAGGTGCCACAAGTCCTCCTTTTCTTTTTGCGAATACAGACTAACACGGCTGCTACTCTGAAACCTGATATTATTTAGACTGAATTCGTTTCAGTAAAGTAGTTCAGATTTGTGTAAACACAGCCATTACGGTTACATAATGGTCTTCCCCAACAAATATCTGGCATACTGCCTCTGATAATGCATACGCCACATCATACCTTCCACAATCTCTCTCTTGTAATCACTATCATTGTCACTGTCAGTTGGCCGGTAATAGATATAAAATCCTTGGATGGGGGTATTATTGTTGCTTGAAGTAATATACTGGAAAAGAGAATACAAATAATACATTAAAGGATAAACCCATTTAAAATTAAAATATTTGATTACGTTTCAAGTCATGACAGAAATAAATTTACTTCATTCAGGAAGAGACCAGAAGTATTTTCAAGAAAGAGTGGTCTTAAATAAGATAGAAGTAGAAGAAACCACTGTAGTTCAGATGATGTAACAGTTTCCATTCTAATCCCGTGCGGTCAGTCACCAGTTGCTGTCTGAAACTTCCATTTTGGCTGAGAATTTTTGAATGGTGGTCTCTGCACAAAGGCGAAGTTCTTAGTGTTTTTGCCCTAGCGGTTCACAAGGAGAATGAAAAATACACACCCTTCCCATTGAAGAAAGAAGAAAAAAAAAATCTTGCAATCTTTTTCTGAACGGCCAAATCCTTGGCATGCTGGACGTGCTGGGGGGTAGGAGCTGATTTGTGGGGACCACCGGTAGGCGGGAGGCACTGGGTGATCAGTGGGGGCTGCCAGTGGTGCTGAGCACCCTCTTTTTTTTTTCCCCCCTGTGAGTGCTCCAGCCCCAGAGCACCCATGGAGTTGGCACCTATGCTTAAGAAAATTATATTTGATTTGACAAAGCAATAAGCCTTTCAAAATCAAACTGAGTGGCACAGATTTTTTTAATCAGGTTTCATGGTGAGAACTGAAGGATCTACTTTGCATGTATATGGAGCTAAATTAACGGCACTGTGAAAAATCTAGTCAAACATACTGCGGTGAATGCAGACATGGGACTGGGGAAAGCCCCGCTGAAGGGCTGAGGACGGACTCCTGCAGTTCTGAAGAGCCCAGAAGGGGTCCACAGCAGGGAGCTCTGGACACCTTCCTAGTCCCATTTTGAAAAAGGGATATTACTCTCATTTGAAGATTTTATTTTAAGTCAAAGATATACTGGACCATTATGACCAAAAAAAGAAAAAAGAAAAACAATTACAAGAATTATATAATTTCAGACATAGTATGTTAGTCATGCAGCTGAAGGCTGCTGTAAGGCACAGGGGGCAGAGTTAAGGTTGTCTATGCAACTTTAACTTGGGTTAAATTGACTGGCTTGGGCTACGCTTAAAACTGGTATCAGCATAGCTACGTCAATCAGAGGTGTGAAAAAACCCACGTCCAACCAGCATGGCTATGGTGACAAAAACCCCAGTGCAGATGCAGCTATGGCAATAAAAGAGTGCTTCTGTCGACATAGCTAATGCTCTTCCTATACCAGCAGAAAAACTCCTTCTATCGTGTAGGCTGCCTCTACACTAGGAAGCTATGCCGGCACTGATCCTGTAGTGCAGACGCAGTTGGTATTTCCTAACCTTTGAGTTCAAACTTACTCTTATGTAGTCCTAAGACATTTTAGACTAAGTTTCTTCAGTTTATTACTGATATTTTCCTCTTTCAAGGTTGAATTGTTCAGGCAAACTGCAGAACTGGGAATTCTGTGGTGTTTAGAAATTACCCTCATGGTGCACCACGATTGCATACATAAGTGTGCAAAAGCAAAAACTAATGATACAGTGGATTTCAATAAGGACTTCAAAGTATTTGCTTATGAAAGACAGAGTTACAGGGGAAAGGAGGGGAATGTTTTTGCAATATGGAATTTTTATTGGATACACTTCCTCTTCAGATGTAGCCTATTGAAAATTCTCAACAGAGAATATGATTTTGAGGCTTGGTTAAGACTTTTTAGCGTGTGAATAATACAACAGTGGATTCTTTTCAAGGACTCATGTAAACTAAAACAGGATTTATTATCAAATAACACTTTTGAGCTGTTTGGAGGAGTTAAAGTTGCTGTTATTCAACATCCACTACAAAACAGTACCAGAAGTACAGCAACAATTCAGGTTTCTAGATTTTAAATATTACAATACAGGAAAAGAATTAGTAGATTGATATGGTTCATGGGATATCAACCATGAATCTCTTAAGAATACCACTCACTACTGAGGAAAACAACTACATTGCTAACTTGAGTGTGTTGTTCTTGATCCTTGATCCTTCACTTTTAAAAGATTTCTAACTGCCAAATCAGTAAGAATTAGTCTATAGAAGGGGAAGAGAGCAGAAAAGTGTACTCACAGTCCATTTTAACATGATCTGAGTGTCGCTGACTGCCTCAGTGTAGGCAATGTGAGGTCCTGTGATCGGACGGTTGGAAAAACGGTTGGTAAAGCCAGCAACTTGATATGGTCGAGATGGTGAGCTTCGTGGACTATCCCCGTAATTGTTAACAGCAATCACACGGAATTTGTATGTTGCTCCTTTCAAAGGCAAAAGATAAAATTAGGGATTAAGATAAAAATACCCAAGCACTAGAAAAAGGGCTCAAATAATTAAAAAAAAATCTGAGATAAGACACTGTCATAGTGGAATTAGTTCTAAATTGATTTCTTGAGATTCAAAAAGAAAATCACTTGCAATGAAAGATGTCTCTTTAGTGGTTTTAGATGCTTAACTGTGACAGAACCTGCTCATACAGTGGTGAAAAGCTAGTCAAATAATTGGGCTGGAAAGAAATTTTCATCCATGGGAAAGGCAAGGAAATGCTATTTTTCCCCTCCTAGAGCAAGGATGTCCAATTAAGATTATGAGATTGTATCCCACAAGACCAGCTGCATGCATTTCTAGAAGTCATGGACAATGGTCCTCCTTTGTCTATTTCTGAAGTTCCCCTGAACTTCTGTCTCAGAGTAATTGGTTGATGTTAGTATATTTGTTCTCTTGTTTCCCAGCCCAATAATACTAACCAATGAAAAACAAATGGAATGGCTGCAGAGAAGCACATAACAATCGTAACCTAGATTTGGTATTTACCAGAAATGACAATTAAGTAGGGAGAGGTTGAAAGAAAACGTGCACAAAACTAACAAACATCAATAAAAATTGAACTTGGGAGGGCAGGGGGGACTGTTTCATTCTTAGACAGCTAAAAGCCAACTTCAATGAAAGAAACAAATTCCTAACCCGAGACAAACTACAGATAAAATGGGCCTTTTTAATCATGTTTAGTATTCTTAATGAATCTGTAATTATTTTATCTTCTGAAGTGCATGACCAGAAAGAAATACTTCTCCTCACAAGAAAGTGGTCATCTAAAAGAAAAAGGATTTAGAACTAAAACTCCTAAGGGCAGTGAAAGAGTTTTAATACCTGGCTCTAAGTTGCGAACTTCCACTGACAGTTTAGAAGGAGAGATGCTATCGGCTGCAATTAGCCAGTCGCTGTTTCGGCTCATGCGCTTGTACTCTACTTTAAAGGCAGTGATGGGGGAGCCGCCATTTGCGCGTGGGATCCATGTGACATAGACAGAGGTCTCTGAAGCTGTTGAGATAGCAGGGCGATCTGGAGCCTCTGGAACTGAAATGGGAAATTGAGGAAGATGAACATAGGAGTTAGATGAGAAACATGGAACTCCGTTCTCTACAGAGCACACCTATGATTAGTTTAATCAATTAAGTTAGACCAAATGTTTCAAACATGGAGATTCTTAAATCCTCCTCCCACAGGCACTCCAGTATATAAAATGAGAGGTACTTTTAGAAGTTTTCCTTTTATCCTTCAGAGTTGGGAAGAGCCCTAGTACTAAAAAGTCTTAAACTGTGTATGAAAACTTAGTTGTGGATGTGAACATTGAGCTGCATCAGACCAATGCAACTAAATTATGGGAGCGCAAAAGTGTTCTTAAACAACAAGCAACACACTACGAGAAAATAGTGGAGCTACATACTTTATTCAACAGAACTGAAAGAGACATGCTAGTACACTAAACTCTATCTCTTCCTTGGCACTACACAAAGGGAGCACGTACAACAGCAGCAGGTTGGTTTGGTGAGAATAAAAAATTTGAACTGAAATTCCCAGAACCATGAAAAAAATGGATCCGCAAATACTACTAAGCACTGAATCGCTTAAGCATAATTTAGAAGAAACAAGAGCAAACCAAGCATGTAACAAATGATATCAATACTTACTGAACTCACTTGACGTTACAGACAGCAGTGGGAACAGAGGAAATGGAAAGAGGTGGTGTTAGCAATCTGGTTATAAGAAGTCTCATCAGTCAGAATGGTTAAGTCTTCACTGCACTGGTTTATACACATTGTTAAACCACAAATGCCATAGAGGGAGGAAGGTATTTAATAAGGAACAGAAAGGCAATAGGTTATCTGGCACTAATTGGATTTTAAATTCTTAAACTCATTTTCAGTCTATTTGGGTAACATTTTCAAAAGCGCTGACGGGAATTAGGAGGCTAAATCCCATTTACAAAATTGACATATGCACTTAGGAGCTTTAGTCACTTTTGAAAATTGGACATGGGTGCCTTTGAAAATTTTACCTTTTTTGCTCATGTTATTTACCCTCACTTTGACAGTGATCTCTGCAATCAAGACTTGGTGTACTTCAGGAAGACTGACACATATTTAGCCGTAAGATATTTAAAGGGACATTTTCAACTTAAAAATCACACCTGTTTGAAAATGAATTACTTATTGTTACAATATCCAATTTGACTATCAGTGATAAACTACGGAAAAAAGACACTGACTTTATGCATCTGATAGCACTTTGCATATTGTCACCTTCAGTTTCCTCTCCTGTTCTTGCGGGTCTTTCACAAAGTCAGAGAGGAGAGAAACCACAAACATAAGAAAAAGTCCTTGTAAATTATCAAAATTGGCAGTGAGATTAGGGGTCAAGCGTGGCAAACTACTTAACTCATTATTAGAAACTGACTACATTTCAAAGTAAGTGTCCCTTTAAATATCAAATTCACTGGATGAGAAATCTATTTGATGACAACTACACTCTAATGCAAGATAGGCACTGCATTTTGAGGATTCATAAATAATTATTGCAAGTCACAACAAATGACGGGATGAATCAAAGTGGTTACTTAATACACTGCCTCACTGACTGGGATGAACTAACCTTTTAATTAACACTCTTAAAAGCATGAACAATCTGATCATTTTCTCTAAAAATGCATGCAAGCATAGAAAATCTACTAGTTTGAAGTCACTTATATCTGAGCCTTGCTAACAGATCATTCACAAGAGAAAGAGACCTGCAACAGAAAGACAGACCTAAGGAATAAACAGGGAATAAAAATGGACACAAGACATAGAAATACAAATAATTATAAGCACTTGAGAAATTAGCTTAAATGCATCTCATCTCATACGCAAATCGGAGACAATCCATTCACCTACCTCCACTGTGTCGAGACAGGTCTGGAAGGATCACCCCAAAGTTATTTGTCCCTTCTTGAATGATAGGATGTTTAGGAATGCCAAGTGGGGGAAATGGGGCCTGAGTATTTTTTGAGGATGATGTTCTTTCTAAAAAAAGTTTGAGATATGATACATAAACTCAGTGACTGAGAAGGCAGTGCCGGAAAAAGATCCGTTCACTGCATCCTTACAGTACACCCCCTCCCGCTGCTTTTACACAAGATAGCAGCTTTAACTGTGGTGCAGTTGGCACTAAACCTGGCTCCAATTCCCAGCCAGGCTTGCTGTCCTCAGGGGCTGAAGGAGAAGAGAATTCTCCACGTCAATCCGCAGAATCACTGCACAAAAGTCTCAGGCTGGAGTAACCTCCATAATAACTGCACATCTATACAGCATGATATGCACTAGTCCCACCCTAGATTTCTGCTGTGAGTTTAACACCTGTTACGTTCCCCCAAATCATGCCCCTCAGTACACTGAAACCACCAACACTGGTAAAGGAATCATGATGAAAGCACCCTAGCAACAATGTGGCAATAGGTCTAATGAAGCCCCCAAACTGGCAATTAAAAACGCATATCAGTTTTCATAGCATATGGCTGCCTCCTCCTGGAAATAAATCACTAGCATGTCTAATGATTTTTAATACAGCTGGTTCCTGTATTACATGACCAATTGTTGAATTCTTTGCATTAATAACATTTTAAGCAGAGTGGCTAATATATGGTAATTAAAACATTTCATGATCTAGCCGCTCAGTTTAAACCTGAATTAAAAAAAATCACTGAAGTTGGAAATGAGAACTGGGTTAGCGCTCTCAATACAGTGTAGTGCACTACAAAACTAACATAACAACGTGCACCGGAAGTTTCTGCACAGGAAAGGCCAAGACCCTTTTACACAGGTCAAGACTGAAGAAGCTTTATTAATCTGTGTGAGGACACTCAGAATGGAAGGACCAGTCAAGCTTGAACTTCTTTTTAAGTGTTACGTGGAAAAGGCTGACCAGGACCTGGCTGCCTTCTGACTTTAGCTTGGCTACTTTCAGTAAGGGCCTCTATGCACTACCACTTACGCTGGTAGAAGTTATGTTGCTCAGGGGTGTGAATAAGCCACCCCCCGAACAACGTAAATTACACCTACCTAAACACCTGTGTGGACAGTGTTGTGTCCGCAGGAGAGCGTCTCAGGCTGACATTGCCACCTCTGTGAGCGACAGTAGCTATGGGAGAGCTCTCTCCCAGCAGCACAGAGTGTCTTCACCAGATGCGCTACAGTCCATACATAGCGCAGTTACCTCTCAGCGTACTGCTATGGCAATGCACCATCAGAATCTGACTTACAGCTATGCTGGATCCCATTTACCAACAGCCTTAGTTGTGATAGGCGCTTCCTTTGATACTACACTAAACAACTGTTTCCACAAATAGCTGTAGAGACAAGCCACGGTCAACTTAAATTACAGGAATGTTTTGGCGATAACTTTGCATATAGGAAACACTGCACCTACCTTTGCTGGTGCGAAACGTAAGCATGGCAGGCTGGCCTTCACCAGCAGCACTCCTTGCTACCATCAGAACCTCATAGAGGCTGGAGGGCTCCAGTTCTGTGAGATGAAGCTCATTTTCACTTCCAGGAACACGGACCGTATGCCAGCTTCCCATGACATTGATGCCATCGTCCAGCTGTACCAGAGGAAATCACAAGATGCTAAGAGCAAGACAAACCATGACTTCAACTTTACATGTGGGAAAATATCAATACTTCTCCAGCTGAGCTGGTCTTCCGGACATTTTATTGTATAAAAATGCCAAAATGTCTAATTATGTTCAATTAGTTTTACTCAGGGCCAGTGACAGCCCTGGAAATCCAAGTCTTTTATCCACACAGCAGGTAAAGCACAAGTGGCAGCTCTGTGAGCTTCTACACAATGTTCCTGCAATAGATCTGAACCCTGACCTACAGGATCCCCCATATCAAGGTTTGAGAGACTTCTGTCTCCATATTAAGTTGGCCCCTGGCCACTCAGCTGAGACAGCTAACAATGCTAATTAGTACATATTACAATGGATATTTACTGCGAGTGCTTATGTCTGAGGAACTAGAATGAGGACAAACGATTTCAAGCAGAATACCTAGCTGCCATTATGGTGGTGTGCATGTCTGGATTAAAGCAGAACCCAAGAGGAGAAAGGGGACAGTCAATTACCCTAACCTATCCCAGCCTTCCATGAATTTAAGCTTCTTTACATGTTTATTAGTTAAAATGAGTAACACAAAAAAGAGAGCGTGTGTGTGTGTTTTATCTGCTTGGTTACCTCCAGAGACTGGAAAACATCAGCAGGAAGATTGGAGATTTGTTTTTATTAGAGTACATATTTCCCTTTTTACAATTTTTCATTGTTGTTGTTGTTTTTCTGTTTTGCAGTGAATTCACCAGTTCCATTAGGCAAAGGAAAGATTTCTCTTAATAGCTGACCTTTGAGAAAAGCATTACCCCAAATCCCAAAGGAAAAGGCAGAGACTCTACCAAAAATAAAGTACTAAACAACATAAGACTTTAATAAAAACATGGAAGGCAGCTCCAAATGCTATGGATTACTAAAGTTTATACTGATGGCCTTGATTCAAATTCTTTCTTCAAAAGAGAGACATTTCTTTCTAATGCTTTATAAAAAGAAATCTTGGAAGAGGAGGAAATCAATTAAATAATTTTTATGATAGAAGAGATAGATGCTTTTAAAACCACGATAAACTGTCTACTAAAATTACATAAACAAACAAGCATTTAATACAGAAAATATAATTGCTAGTGATGGACTAATTTGAAGGGCCAGATAAGCACCAAAAGTTTTGAATACTTATCTGAACCAAGTATCTTTGGTTCATAAATTAAACAGGCTCTGTCATGAGATTTCCTGGATTTGGCTGGTCAAAATATCTTGCGGTATTTCTGCTTCAGGTTGGGATAAGACCAGGATGAACAAGGCTTTAAACTTATAAAAATATGAACTGAGTAACTTAGTCCTTCAGAGAAAAAGTCTGATTTAAGATTTAGTCTTATGTGATGCCTGGTTCTAATTCTAATCAAAGACGTTCACGGCTTGCAAAAGTTCTATTCAAACTACACAGTGCGAGTGAGATCAGAACCAGACATACTGACTGTAAACGCATTGTTTTGATTGCTAATGTTGTATGAATAATGCTCACCAGAGTCCAATTCCACACATACAATAATGGTACTACAATGGAAATAAAAACTTGAGTTCTGTTGAACCAGGCCCAGTTAAACCCAGAAAAAACAGCAACTAATTTCAATCATCCCTAAACAGACTGCCTGTGTGTCCACAGCAAAACTGGGCTGATACCATAGCTCTTGTTAACACCCACGTTGCTGTAACAAAGATAGGTTCCTTGAGAAGCCTAAAACTATCTGCTGTGGAGTTATTCCTATCTCCTGCAAAGAAGCAGTACCTTGCGATATTTCACGAAGTAAGCATTGATGGGCAAGCCGCCATCCTTTCCAGAGCGCCACACTAGGTTATACATATCTGGCTTGAGTGTCTGTGGAGGGCTGAGGATGATTGGGGCTTCGGGCGGCAAAGCACCATTGAGTGTCTTTTCTGTAGCAACTGCATCAAGATGCAACTTCGTTGGAGACAAATTTGAGAACCCCACTTCTGTATCGTAATCTCCATCTCCTTCATCGCTTTGGGCAACCTCTGTAGGAGTGACTTCTTCAATTTTTGTACTAGACTCAAAAGGAACTGCAGAAGAAAAATTCTGGTTATATCTACAAGACAAAGCCTATTTGCTTCATGCGCTAGAAACAATTAATGAACTACTGTCCTTCTCTCCTAGAGTCTACTGATCTTCTATGCAGTAACAAGAGCACGGCAACATCTCATTGGAACGCATGCATTGTAAAGGTGTAGTACCTGGCAGATCGGCAGCAGAGGGTGTGTTATAATTGATGTATCAGGTACATTAGGTAGCAGCAATGTACTTACATTGAAAAGTAAAGAACTACATTTCTACCAGCATAAACAGAGTAATTTGAAGTGACTCAAAGGCATTAAACCATGTTTGTACAATTACAATTTACTGTATGTACAAAATTACATTAAGGGCATTTTCTTAGCTCACTTTGTGAAGTTTTAGCTGTGAGTAATTTCTGTTAATATTGAACACTATATAGCTGAAACCCAGCCAACTCATTTGAAAATATATTGCTAAGAATGAGGTAAGCTTAGAGTCAGATCTAAAGTGCTATTGGTGATATTAACATCTATTTCTGAAAGCCCTCTATGTGCCTCCTCCTTCCATCCCGCAGCTTTAACTGCAATGAGGTCAGTAGTACTGGAAAGCATAACAGACAAAAATACTCTTAGGGAATCCTGGAATTGATACACAGCTTGTCAACATTCCAGGCAGCAATGGGCTGGCAGGTTGGACATCTGAGGTTTAGCATCAAGACAAGCATCAAACTTCAATATTTAAAGTGAGAACTCTGAGGGAAATGACGCAGCTCCTGAGGTTGCACACTGAAATGTTAGACTGCCAGATGTTCTTAGTCCTGCCCATTCTTTCATAGATCTGTGTAGGTTTCCGTTATATGTTGGGGTCCAGAAAGTAGAGGGGAATAAGGGGAACTTAGTTTACAAAATAAACAGACATTCCTTGGTAATGTAAAGCATAAGCTGGGTTGGCCTGGCCACCTCAGATTCCGTCAAACCTCCATTAAAATACCAACAACAAGTGTGGCTGCTATTTTTGGCCACTTCTTGGAAGCTGGAGGGGAAGGGAAAGGTGGTTTTTTTTTTTTTTTTTTTTTTCAAACAGAAGCCCATGTTCTCAGCAAGCATTGGTTTATTTAGGAATGCTGCAGGGTTTGGGGATGGGAGTCATAAGCAATACAAAGAGGAAGTCTTCAAGGCCAAACATCAGCTTGTTCAAGACAACAGAAGAAATGCCTGATAATGTTCTCACCCTTAAAGTGTATCTAGTACACTAAATTAACCCATGAGAAAGTGATACATGCTGCATATTAGCATCAAAACCCAACGTTCTGTCTGAAGAGTTGGAAGGCGTACTTTCCTGTGATGGCCTAGTAAGGATTTCTGGATGTACACAATATGACTCGGTGACTGCTGGAGCAGGGAATTGGACTGCAGTATGCAGGGAATGAGCTGTGGTTTTGGTTGGTGTGGGTAGACCTACTGGCATTATTGCTTTTACTAGCCCTGAAGGATAGTAAACTATTGGCAAACAATTTGTATTTAACTTATAGACAGACACCACAGGACAGTAATGTTTATTAAGGCTGTTCAGATTTATGTACCTACACCAGAGGATTTGTCAAGGTTTCTGTATCCTTTATTTCAGTATGTAATGTGGGGTACTTCCGCTACCTCCCTATTCAGATTAACTATTCCCCCTCAGCTTCATAGTCACTGCACCCTTTGAAAAAATTCCTTAGCAATCCCACAAAATAGGCTCGTGTTTAATGGAAGTTAGCAGGGAGATTTGTGGTCAGTGTTCTACAACATACCCAATGACAGCCTCCTACAACCAGCACTGCAAGACGGGAGTTACTACTCAAGACGGGTAACATTTTCTGAAGCATCTAAATGACTTAAGACACTAAGTGCCACGGAGTTAGATTCCTAAATCACTCAGGCGCTTCTGAAAACTTGACCTGACATATTCACTTGAGCCTATTGTAGACTGAACTGACTGCAGAGCTACATCGGTTTGATACTTCTGCTGTTAGAACTGGTTTATTAAAGTCGTATGGGATATAAATATCTTTTGGCATTTAAGTTAATAATCCTTTGAATCCTGATGGCTCTCAGATAGCCAGCTTCCAAACCCATTTAAAGATTTACAGATCAACCCCAGTGCCTTTACTGTCACTTGAATGCCAATCAGAAGCTAGTGCAACAAATTTGAAACTGATAAAAGCAAATATGACATTTAACTTGTAGAACTCACGGCCACCAGGTTGAGACATGGCATCAGGATTTTTATTCCAATTCAGGTTGAGTTCTGGGAATTGTGTTTGATTTTGGTTTTATGAGGTCCATTAATGAAGTTAATGTGAGTTTTTTAATATTAAAAGGACAGAGAGATCATTTTCTCAGCAATTTTTTTTTTTATTATTAAAGAAAACATCTTTTTGCCCCATTTAGAGGTATATATTTATTTTAAGAGGGGAAAAAATATACTAAAGTCTAAATGAAAAATTTAGAAAAAAAAATCTCAGTTTATATTATATATTTGATAGCACTTTGAGTGTAGTCAATTTTTATATAGTACCCTATACAGTCAGTTTCTCCCTTGCTAAACAGAACCTTCTAAACATCAAGATGGAAGTAGAAAAATATCTTTAAAAAAAGGATTTTAATGTATTTCAGGACATATTTACCAGTGTTGTATCAGAAGCCAGAATATTTAAAAATTAGACAATTAAAAAAATAAAATTAATGTTTTTCTGTGTGAATTGTGCATTCAATATATTTTCTCTCTTTATTTTTTGGGGAAAAAAATTAGGTATAGAGTTTAACTTGCTTTCTGGCTCAGCACATTTTAATGAGGTTTCCTGTTTTCCCTAGGACGTGTTTTGACGATTATACAGCAAGACTAAGTGTAAATTTTTCAAAACCACCTACAGGATTTAGGCTCTTCAGTCCCATGTTAAAAGGCACTTAGAAGGCTAAATCCCACTGATTTTTAATAAAACTTCAGCTCCTAAATGCAAGTCTCTTTTGAAAATGAGCATAAGCCTAAATCATTTGGGTGCTTTTTAAAATTTTGCCCTTGTTCTTGTTAGGGTAACTTTTTAAAAATTATTTTTAATATTTCTGGGATCATGGACAGAACATAAAATAATAAAAATAAAGATGATTTCTTTTTATAACGTGCCTTCAGCTTAAGAACAATCTCTTTCTAGTAGCAACCTCAGAGAATAGTGAACAGTCAGTATTTTCTTTGCAAGATCAAGCCTTTTATATTGTCTATTTATGTTTACATTACTCATCTACCCAAGGTGGTGGTGGTGATGATGGAGGCGGTGTGCGCGTGCATTACGGAGAACAGTTGAGGATTCCCCTGCTTTACTTCACTCTTCAAAGACTGGTTTTGCTGTGCACCAATTCCTCAGTAACTTTGGAAGCACCGCTGAACCATAGTTTTTACGGCTGAAATCCGGGCTGCAACCACACAATGCTTTAGCAGGTGATTCTAAACACGCTTTTTTTCTTTTCTTTTTTTTTTTTTTTTAAAGCCTGTAGAGATTTTAACCTGAATTTAGTGCTTGTCAAAAGTCCCTTATTGGATCAGACTGGAGAACTAAATTCTCTAACTCCAAAATGGGGCTTCCCCACATGGCCATCTCCCTTCCCAAAGATGTGCCAGGTGAGACCCTGGTACAAGCTCTAGCCTCAGGTGAGATGGCCAAAATCTACAAGGTGAATATCTGCTCACTAGGAACCCGGCCAACTCATTTCAATGCATCATGAAATAGCCACTTAATTTCTAATTCAGATTTTGCTAAACTGACCCTCTTGACACTAAAAAGATGTTTCACCACATAAGGCGCATGCCAGATTACTTAAAATGTTAAAAAGGCTCACAGCAACGCTGATTCTAGCTTACCAACTGTAAGAAATGCTTCTGACAGTGCTGAGCCGTGTTCATTTGTTGCTTCGCAGGAGTATTTCCCAGCATGCTCTGGAGTAACTGCCTGAATGTATAGGGAGCTTGATCCAGCTCGAGACATGGTTAAGTAGATGGGCTCTAAAATGGCATTGCCTCTCCTTGTTTGTGGAGATTTTCGTGGTTTTGAATGTAGGACCTGAGAAGGGTGGCTGGTAATAAGTCCACGGCTGCTGTACCAACGGATTACAGGAATAGGCAGTCCAGTGGCATTGCACGACAATGTAACATCTCCACCATCTACCACATTGGCACTGGCTGGTGAAGAAACTATAACTGGCTTGGAACCTTTGCCTATTAAAAAAAACCACAATTCATACATAAAATTAATTCACTGTACTATGGAATCTATTGTCTAATGCACAGATGAGCTGTTAATATGGTACAAAAATGAACACATTCAAATATTTTTCATTTATACCGTTCTCTAGTTTTCTGGTTGCTAGTAATTCCCCAGTTCACTGCCTTACTGAACAAGGGACTGAAAACCATTAACACTATTGAAACTTTTGTTTGGAGCAGGCAGATGCAATATTAAACTTCAATCTGCACTTGGGGTGCACAAGAACAAAAATCTCAAACTTTAAGTCTGGAATTCGTCAGTTACAAAGACAAATTCCAATAGAACCTGAAACCAGTTCAACTCATCTGAGTCAATCATGAGACTCAGAAGAGGTTTCGTTACAGTTGGATTTAACCCTGAAATTTAGGTTTAAAAGTTTAAGAATCAATACAACTGAGTCACCAAATACCTCCAGCTCTCCAAACACTCCTCCTATCAAAACACGGCTAAAATGTCATAAAAGCCAACACTGTCTAGGAGAGAACCATGCAAAACTATATTTGAGGCAAGATATTTTTTGCCTTCTTTTAAATTCTGGATCCTTGAAATAAAGCAGCTGGGTCATATCTCCCACTCCCCCATGAAATACTTCAACAAGTGATGGAAAAATCATACAATTTGCTGCTTACCGTGGTCAGAAATGGACTTAGTCGATACATAAACCAAATCTTTTGGCAAGAAAACTAAAATGTGTCAGAAAAAGCAAAGGTTTTAGTTTAAGTTCTTGGATAGTTAAAAATGTTCCTATACCTGTCTGGACTTGAAGTCTCCCAGTGGATTGCATAAAACCAATCCCATTGTTTGCCACACACTGATACAACCCAGAATCCTCCTTGGTGATGCCACTGATTCTCAACCTGTTTCCTGTGACCAGATGTCGTGGAGAGAGATGGATGGAAGCTGTATTATGGAACCAGGTAAGATTAGGAGCAGGGTTTCCATGAATGTCACATGAGAAATGTATAGTTGCACCCACAGCCACTGTTTGATCCTGCAGTCCTTTAGAAATTGAGGCAGATTCTATAAAGCAAATAAATAGAATGTGAAACCCTGCAGGCTGCTCTTTCAGGAATCATGTAGAAACTAATTACTAGACCACACGTTTAACAATAATATGAAATTGTACAAACTTATCACACATATGGAGGCTGAGCTTAGTCATGTCTCAAGCTCAGTGAAAGATGAATACTTGCTTCTAAGGCATTTGCTCAACACTCATTATAATGGCTTTTTCCTTCAGTGCAGAAAAGTCGTGCTTACTCTACAAAAGTAAAGGATTCCTTTAATGGAAAACTTTTTTTGACAAAACTATTTCCTGTTTCAGCATCTCTACTTTATGAAACAAACTTTTTTTAACCATTCAGACTCTTTGGCCAGAATACACACATATCTGAGCCCTACCATATTTACCCCTGATCAGTGGTAAAGCCCCCATTGACATAAATGGGAGCAGACAGGCAATCACTGTGGTTTTGAAAATCCCACACAGAACTAGCATGGAGAAACAAACGTTAATATTTTTATTTACAAATTAATGTCTATGACAAACAGCCAGAGGACTTGCAGCCAGAGGTACACTGTTCATTAACCACACACAAGTAAGCCCAGACTCTAGCTTTTTGCTAGAATTCTATTTCACTCTCAAGAGGTACAGGAAAGTTGCTAATCTCCAGGAGATGAGCGTTGGGATCATCCTCAGCTACGTTCTATTTTAGGTAACAGTAAGAACGTTGGGGGTGAAAAAGATGAAAGGGTGATTCCTTCAATGTGATTTAATGATGCTGCAAGACTGATTCTACCTTAAAGTTATGCAGTGCCCAGAAAGAACTGCTACAAAAGAAAAGTGGAATAGCAATGAAATAGAGAGGTACAGCAGTAGCCAGCTACATACTGATAGGGGGAAAAAAACCTTTTTAGTATGCTCACCCCTTGCAGCAAACTTTTTGTTTAGTTACTACCATGAACGGGGAAAGGAGAAGCATCCTACTTTGGCACATGATTCATCCAGTACTAGGAGGCGTGCATGGCCTTTTTGCAGACAAACAAGGCTACTAGTTTTGTCCTGAGGAGTTTACAAACCAAAATAGATGAACACAATAAAGGAGGACAAAGGATTTGGAGAGAGGATAATGAGTCATAAGGGATGCAAGCAGGGAGAGATCATGATATACTTATTAAGTACATATCTTAATTCTTTGATGATGTAAAATTAATTTTAAAATGCATCAGCCCTTGTCTGGGTTAAAAGAGCATGAGGAAACTTAGGGTCAAGAGCTACTATACACCAAAAACAGAAATGGTCTTCAACAAATAAAAAACAATTCAGTTCCTTCCCCTATTTCTTACCAAGTATAGTTACTGTGTAATTTATATATTTCACTACTCCAGACTCATTTGCCACCACACAGGAGTAGTTTCCAGCATCCAATGTATCAAGTCTGTCTGTCACAAGATGGGAGTGCAGTAGTCTCCACCTGCTTCCAGTCAGTGCATCCTGACCATCCTTAAACCAGTGGACATGAGATGCAGGCAGCCCGCTAACAACACACTCTAGAGTTAGGGGACTGTGCTGAGGTACCGCCAAAGCCTGAGAAACGGTGGGGTGAAGAATGCGAAAACCTTCTGCAGAAGTGCCTGGAAGTAGAGTAAAGGGATATGCAAAAGATAAAACTCCTTAACAATCCAATTTTTAAATTGGATTATTAAATACTTTTTCCTCTAGTGGCTCCCTCTCATTTCTATCAAAGCCCTGAGGTTCTGGGTGTAACCAAATTTACTCACTCACATGGCGGACAAATTTTCACTATGGCTGAGCACAGCGTAATGGACTCTTGCATTGGCACCCTCTCAAAATCAGTTGGAGTGGTGGTTATTGGACACGGGGCATTCCCCTTCCAGCAGCTAAGTGCAGAGTCTTTTTGGCATTTGAGCCTACATCTCCCACACAGCGGTGCACACCCACTATGCCACTACTATAAACTCTGCATTACTCTTTCAGGAGTTCATTACCCCTCCATCAATGTTCCCTTCACTGCCATTTATGCCAATAAGAGAACAAACCATAAGCAGAAACAAATTACTCCTTTTACAAAAAGAGCGGGAAGTGAGCATTTCACCACAGATCACATACTTGATAACTCATGTTAAAAGGGAGCATGAAATTGATAATATAGGTGACTATTTCTATAAAATGGACCTATCACATACCGTACTAATGAAATACATTAAAACACACACGCAAAACAGGAACGACTTTGCAGACCCAGATATTTTTAGACTACTTGATATTCATGCTAGGAATCTTTTTAGGTTGATTTTTTCATAAAGTCACAAAATCAAAGTCAGTTACAGCAGATGAAAAGTATTCTGCAGACATTTGCTAGCCAGATTACATATTGTATAGGACCAGAGTTTCACCCATCAGAATAGCAAGACATTAAAATCTAGCAGAGTTTATTAAAAATACTAATTTAAGGTGAATCAATTTAGTTCAGAGCTTTTATCCTTTCAAACCACCCTCCTAGATATATTAAATACTCACGGCTGACTACGAGCTTATGTCCAGTGGGTTCTAATTTGAGATCATGAGTGACTGGGTTGTATGCTGCACATTTATAGGAGCCTTTATCCTCTAAAGAGACATTCAAAATCTGCAGATTTCCAGATGGAAGAATTAGGTAGTTATCTGAGGAAGGGAAAAAGGCTTGTTTAACATTAGTTTCAAATAAACAGTTTTAAAAATTTCTTTAGTCAATTTATCTAGCACCCTGTTCTATTAAGTGAACTAATAACTCTGCCAACAAAAATTCATTCCTGTAATGGATGTCTTTACTAAGATAGATGTATCTAAAATGAATTGCATAATGAGTTTTCGACTTTTTAGGATATCACTCAGTTCTGATTTCAACCAGTATTTTTGCAGCAGGTCATTTATATTAGTTACTAGTGTAATAAAATCTCTCACCTGTTGATTGTTCCAACCATTTTCCCCGTACTCTAAAGCGAACTTGTGCTTTAGGGTTACTTTCTGGTACCTTACAGCCAATGAAAGCCGCACTTCCTTCTTCTGCTGTAACTATGTGTTTCACCGAAGTATCAAAATCATCAAGATCTGGAAGATAGTTTACAAAGGTAAGGGAAATTGTAGATTTTGGAGGAGGTGGGGTTAAACAGTAATTCCTGACTGCAAATACAGCAGGTTTTGATCCAAATGAATGCTGTTTTTGACAGCCTCTCTGAACTCCTCTGTAAAGAAGTGACATTTCATGTAGGGCTGTCAAACGATTAAAAAAAAATTAATCACAATTAATCGCATGATTAAAAAAAATTAATCACGATTTAAATAAATGGTATTCCATTATTCTTTAATATTTTTGGATGTTTTCTACATTTTCAAATATATTGATTTTAAATTACCACACAGAATACAAAGTGTACATTGCTCATTTTATTATTTTTTATTGCAAATATTTGCACAGTAAAAAACAAAAGAGTATTTTTCAATTCACCTCATACAAATAATGTAGTGCAGGGGTTCTCAAACTGTGGGTCAGGACCCGATTTTAATGGGGTTGCCAAGGCTGGTGTTGGCCCTGGGCCCCAGCAAGTCTGAAGCCTACGCCCAAGCCTCACTGTCCCGGGCTAAGGTTACATGCCCCCCTCCCAAGGCAGAAGCCCTTGGGCTTCAGCTTTGGCCCCCCCACCCAGGGTGACAGGACTCAGGCGGGCTCAGTCTTTGGTCCCCCACTCCTGGGGTAACGTAGTAATTTTTGTTGTCAGAAGGGGTCACGGTGCAATGAAGTTTGAGAACCACTGATGTAGCGCAATCTTTTTATCATGAAAGTTGAACTTACAAATGTAGAATTCGCAAAAAGAAAAGGAGGACTTGTGGCACCTTAGAGACTAACCAATTTATTTGAGCATAAGCTTTCACGATGTAGCTCAAGAAAGCTCATGCTCAAATAAATTGGTTAGTCTCTAAGGTGCCACAAGTCCTCCTTTTCTTTTTGCGAATACAGACTAACACGGCTGTTCCTCTGAAATGTAGAATTATGTACAAAAAAAACTGCATTCAAAAATAAAACAGTGTAAAACTTTAGAGCCTACAAGTCCACTCAGTCCTACTTTTTGTTCAGTCAATAGCTCAGACAAGTTTGTTTACACTTGCAGGCGATAATGCTGCCCGCGTCTTGTTTACAATGTCACCTGAAAGCGACAACAGACATTCTCATGGCATTGTTGTAGCCAGCGTCACGAGATATTTATGTGCCAGATGTACTAAAGATTCATCTGTCCCTTCATGCTTCAAGCACCATTCCAGAGGACATGCATCCATATTGATGACGGTTTCTGCTCGATAACGATCCAAACCAGTGCGGACTGACGCACATTCATTTTCATCATCTGAGTCAGATGCCACCAGCAGCAGCTTGATTTTCTTTTTTGGTGGTTGGATTCTATAGTTTCCGCATCGGAGTGTTGCTCTTTTAAGACTTCTGAAAGCACACTCCACACCTCGTCCCTCTCAGATTTTGGAAGGCACTTCAGATTCTTAAACCTTGGGTCAAGTGCTATAGCTATCTTTAGAAATCTCACATTTGTATATTCTTTTCATTTTGTCAAATCTGCAGTGAACGTGTTCTTAAAACGAACAACATGTACTGGGTCATCATCCGAGACTGCTATAACATGAAATATATGGCAGAATACACGTAAAATACAGAGCAGGAGACCTACAATTCTCCCCCAAGGAGTTCAATCACAATTTAATTGACACACATTTTTTTTTTAAACGAGAGTCATCAGCATGGAAGTATGTCCTCTGGAATGGTGGCCGAAGCATGAAGGGGCATACAAATGTTTAGCATATCTGGCACGTAAATACCTTGCAATACCAGCTACAAAGTGCCGTGCAAACACCTGTTCTCACTTTCAAGTAAAAATGTGAATAAGAAGTGGGCAGCATTATGTTCCGTAAATGTAAACAGACTTGTTTGTCTTAGCAATTGGCTGAACAAGAAGTAGGACTGAGTAGACTTGTAGGTTCCAAAGTTTTACATTGTTTTGTTTTTTGAGCACAGTTATGCAACAAAACAAAAAAACCTGACATTTGTAAATTGCACTTTCACAATAAAGAGATTGCACTTCAGTACTTATATGAGGAGAATTGAAAAATACTATTTTTTTCTTTATCATTTTTACAGCGCAAATATTTGTAATCAATAATAATATAAAGCGAGCACTGTACATTTTGTATTCTGTGTCGTAATTGAAATCAATATATTTGAAAATGTAGAAAAACCATCAAAAATAGTTAATAAATTGCAGTTGGTATTCTATTGTTTAACAGTGCAATTAATCGCAATTAACTCACATGATTAACTCAAAAAAATTAATCGCGTTAGTTAACTGTGATTAATCGACAGTGCTAACTTCATGTAGTTCTCAATACCAGAGCTAGGATATAGATATCTGAACTTCTGCTGCATGAAAAGACAGAGTTTTCACTTGAAGGATGGAAAAAACTGAAAATGTAGCCCTCTTTTAAGTTCCACAGAACTACTTCATGAAAAATAAGGGAACAGAGAGGCTCTCAACCCAGGAACTAAGTGTGTCAATAACCAGTTTTGAACTTAATGCAGGAGGCAATTTATAGTATATGGACAACAGGTACGTTGTAAACTCTATGCATACAAAAAGGAGTTAATTACTCTGGGAGAAACATAACTTGACAGTGAATACATCAGTGAGGAATGCAGCATCTGCCATTCACTGCCTGTACAATATGAGTCAAATATAAAACCTCAACCTACAAGTTACAGCATCTCCCAACTTTGTTTTTAATGCTGCTAAAAACCCAGAAACAGGTTGTCTTAGGCCTGGTCTACACCTAAAGAGTAAGTCAAACTAGCTATTGCTTATGGGGTGTGAAAAATTCACAATCCTAAGAGACTTAATTAAGACTACTTAAGTCCCTGTGTAGGCACCGCTAGGTTGACAGAACAATTCTTCTATTGACCTCACTACCACCTCTCGAGCGTGTGGATTTACTACGGCAATGGGAAAACCCCTTCTATTGCTGTAGCAAGTGTCTACACCACAGTGGCAGCTGTAGAGCTTGTAATGTGGCCATTCCCTACGCCCCTCATGTAGTGCAGTACAGTATGCAAGTTGCTCTTTTCCTGCTAGCTTCCATGTTCAAAGCTTATAGCCTGTAAAGTTTGTCTATGCTGATTACCCTACAGGTCTCTTGAGGGGATTCTGCTATGGGTCAGCACTTTACCAAAACACTTAGTCTTCTCAATTACGAGAAACTCTCCTCTCACAGGGATTCTGGACATGCTCCATAGATGGGGCATCCTTAAGAAGAGGTTACTCATATCTTGGCTGACAAAGGCCCAATTCAGACATAACTCTGATGCAGGACAGCCAAATCATACTCGGAGGAAACTGTCTTCAACGGTACATAATCTTTTTCTTATGAACTTGGCCCATGACCCCTCTACTTCATGTTTCTTTTTTAATTTTCAAGCAATTTACAGAACAACCACCAAGGCACAGATGGATTAGATGACAGAAAGTAAGAGAAAAGAAGAAAAACAACCAAGAAAAAAGGAATTTAAAACAGAGAGAGAGAGATGATTTTGACCAAACTAAATTGATAAAAAATGGAAAGGACTTTTTTTTGGGGGGGGGTAAGGGGGGGAGAGAGAAATCATGAATTCGTCTTCTTTCTTCCCCTCCCTCCTAGTTTTCCAATCAGTTCTAATGTCCAAGTACTTGAGAAAAAAAATCCCATTTAATACAGCAAAAGGATTTCACAGAACTGACAAACCACATTTGGGAACTTCATTTGTATTTACTGCTGGCAGTTGCTGTGTTTAAGGCAAATATTGCTGTGAATTGTTCAAAATATAGAGAGATTGCAAAGGGCTTTTTGTTAGCGCTTGATAAAACACGTCTCAATGCAGAAAATTCGAAAGCAAGAAGTGCAGCCAGGAGCGTACGGTTTTGTAATGACATGGCAGATCAACAAGAGAGTTTACACTAGAAAATTCTTTTGCCTGGAGGAGAAGCTTGTGGGATCCTTGTATTATAAAAGCTGTAACTAGAAACAGAAACATTTCTAGGTCTCAGTGTGGCTACATATAGTAGGAACCACTATTAGTACGAGTTAGAGTATCTGTTTATTCCTTATCCGGTAAACAGCTTACGGAATGAAGATTCGCAAGATATTAACTCTCTGCTTTACTGAGAGTGACAGAAAAAAAAAAGGCAAAAGGATTTTTGCTTCTGGAAATTAAGACTATAGTTGCAGAAAGCAATCTATGAGCTTTTCCCTTTTCCTCTAAGCACACAGTCAGATTTTGTATGTGTTTTCAAATACTTTCGGAAATGGAACACTTATTTCCCATTAACGCTGTGGTTTTAAAATTCATCCTCAGAACTTCGGAAGGTTTACCTTTAATAAAAATCAAAGAGAGTTTGGGAGGAAGGCAATGGTCAGCATGTGAACAAAAGCCCTTCTATGGTTCCAGGGACATATGGGGCATTAGTTGCATTAGGAAGGGTACGGGGGCTTTTTTGAGAGTAGCAAAAAGAGGGAGCCAGAGAGTCACCGATGTCCCTGCCAAGAGTGTGACTGTTTTCAGGAAATCGCTCAGGGCATGTGGATTTTGGGTATTTTTCTCCAACATTCTGGCTATCAATCTAGCTCTGATCTGGCTAGCAGCTGTAGTTCTGTTTAATGCTAACTACTGTGGAGCTGTCATTTTTGTTCTTAAAGTGTTACAAACAGTACCCTCCCTCATTGTTGTGTGAGGCACTTCGTAAGTTATTAGCCTAAGCGATATCATTTTGGCACCTCTGTTACCTTCTTTTGCCTTTTCTCTCTTCAACACTACTGCATCTGGGGGCACTAACTTGTGGCATGGGGAGTTTGTTAGAGTTCCCTCCTTTGCGTTTGCTAACTGGAAGCTTTACTGAGAAAGGAGACAGGAAGAGCACACTCTTTCTGGAAAGATGGTATCCTTTGCTGTTTCCCATTAGAAAAGCCTGCAAAGTAAGGTGTGATCTCTTAGCTAGAAAGTAAGGCCTTAGATAACTCTATCCCTCTCTATCTGTCCTAGCCATAGCATTATTCCCAACACTCTCAATGCCTTGCTAACAAAGCCATCTTTAATTTCAACCTCTTCAGAATGCTGCTGCTAAAGTCATCTTCTTTGCACATCACTCTGACCATATCAACCCCACCTTGAAGTCCCTCAGCTAATTCCTTCTTCACCTCTGGAGCAAATACAAACTTCGTCTTTGCTTAGAAGGCCATTCATAAAACTTAGCCCCAGGCTCGGTGGCTGATTAGTAACCTAGCACATTGACCTCCACCGTTCCCAGCCTTTACCACCCACATCAGTCAACTTCTCCTTTAAACACCGGGATGCTTCCTCCCATGATGCTCCTCACACATGGGAAAAGCTCTTTGGATAAAACCTGAACAGCCATGAACCTTATCTTCCTTCAGATCCCACTTAAGACTCACCTCTGCCATGATGTCTACAGAACCCCGCCTGCTGATCATGGTTACATGCAACTATTCCTCGTCCCCTTCTTTCCTTTGCCTCCCTGCCTCATCCCCTCCCAATTAAAAACCTCCACAAACTACACTGCACATAAACCAACAAAGTAGTGTCAATTCTTCACTATATTTTTTGCTTCTAAGTTGTATCCTCTACTCATGTGTGTGTGTGTTTAACCTGTAAGATCTTCAACGGCAGGCACTGTCTATCTGTACAGCGCCCAGGGGGCCAATCCCTTTGGGATGACCATAATATAAATATTTACTATTTACTACTAGCCCACCCATTAATTGCCTCCCACAAGCATGTCTGTCCCTTTTTCATACCATGTAAAGGGTCATAGGCCATTGGGATATGCTGCCTTCTATGCATGGAATGGTCTTCAAACTACTACACTCTCCTCATTTCAATCTAATTTTTGTAATGTTTTTCACCACAGCAAAAAGTATCATTCCCTCCTGAAAACTCAGGGATACCTTAAACAAGAGTCATTCATAGTCACCGCCTACCCTATTTTTTATATAAATAAAAACCCCACTGGATCACCAAACTGTGCTCATACCCCACCTGAGAAATTGCATGATTTTATCGCTAACCCCTTTCTCGCCCCACGCGGTTTGCTATCCTCACTTATTACAATTTGAACTAGTAGCTGAAAGATTGTGCTGGTGTACAGGTGTAATTCGTGAAGTCGTGTGTGTAAAAAAAAACCTGAAACTGGCTGCCACCTTACAAATTAGATGGTAACAGATCATGTATCCCAGTGACGACTGAGGCTGGTGATATTCTAAACAAAAAGAACTCTCAAAATTCTCGGGTTCAGAGTGACATTTAAAGTTATTGTGTATGCTGATTGTGGTGTTGTGTAGGTGACTGTGTTGATTTGTGCAGGTAGCGAATAAGGGCTGAGTGCTGCCATGAGGGGTTGTGTGTGTTTGGGGTTATTGTGTATGCCATGCAGTCTCCCACATACAACCAATGAAACTGTTGCATGCAAATTGGCTGTAGAGTGAGGGTGGTAATGAATATAGTGGTCTAGGATTTGTCACCTGGCATAGATACATGCCTTACTGTAGCTGTACACTGCACAGATGTAATTTGTAAAGTGAAAATGGCTGAGAACTTAAAATTGGACAGCAACAGATGACAAAACCCAGCGATGCTTCAATCTTGTGATATTTTGAACAAAAAGAGCCCTCAACCCATCTCAGACATTTTAGGTTTTAGAGTGACACAAAGAGCGACTTTCCTGTAATCTTATTACATCATCAATTTTAAATTATACACAAGGTCTTTGGGGCAGAGGCTATCTTTCTGCATCTCTAAAGCACTAATGGGTGCTATATTAAATACATATAAAGTGATTTTAACAAGCACTGTTTTCCAATAAAGTTCTAGAGTGTTTTTCTTTGAAAACTCAAAATATTTTCAAAAAAGTTGCAATATACATTTTCTGAAAGTCAAAATGTGTCAGGTTTCTTTCATCTCTACCATGGAGGAAACAACATTTCATACAACTAGTTGATGGCCACTATGTTTGGTCATGGAGTTAGGAATAAAAGTAGAAAACAACTTACGGCCTACGGATACTATAGCAGGCCTGCTCACAATTGCACCAGCACTGTAATTGGCAATGCACTGATAGTGACCCGAATTTGAGGGGCTGAGAGAGAAGATTGTCAAAGATCCTGGCTGCACCTCCACTTGGTCCACCCTGCTGTCCAACCTCTGTCCGTTAAACAACCAAGAAATGCGAGCTGTGGAGGGATCAGCAGAGCAATGAAGGTTTACAGGCCCACCAGGCTTCTGGATAGTAGATACGGGTTCAGAAATAAAATGAGGAATCAAATCTAAAAGGAAAGAAAAAAGACATTAAATGGCTGAACAATACTTAGCAGTACGACATTTGAATGCTCGCTGAAATCTTTCTGTCTAGATCAGTTATACTTTGACTTGTACGGAAGAATAGAGCAGATTTATTTATTAGTGTGCAAACATAAAAAGTATTTCCCTACAACTGTTCTCCAAAAACATATCTTGGCAAATGATTACCCCTAGAGTTTCGGGCCATTGTACACAGATGTGGCAAAAATTCTCTTACATCAAAGTCCTGAGTGATAGGTCCCAGCAGAGGGTGGACAGTTTCTTTCACAGCAGGAGTATGAGTATTGGCAAAATAATAAAGGGCAGGACAATGCAACATTAAACTATTTACAGAACCTCCAAATTCTTTGAGGAGATGGTGCGTCAGTGGTAATCTGTCAAAACGGAAATCTTTGGCGAACAGGCAATTATCTCTTTTTAAAAGATATTCATCTTGACAGATTTCCACTACTAGAGACTAACATGTCACTGGGAAGTCATTATGACAAAAGCAGATAGCCTGGAACAGGCAACAATAAACTAATTGAACCCATCTTAATATTAATGAAGGGATAAGATACATCCAAAATTATACCAGTGAGAAGAGAGTCTTCTCCAAAATAAGATTACCATGGACAGGAGAGTCTGGGTGTCCAGAAAGATTTTGTTACAATGACAGAATAAATCTAAACTTGGTGTCCTGATAAGACCACTCTCACCTTGTAAGCACATGTCCAGAAGACCACATGGCTCCTTTGCAAATCTTCTGACGGGATACAGAATGGTAATTTGAAGATGTAGCTAATTTGCCCTGTATAAAATGTACTATGACATGACTTTCAAAGTTCTAGACCTACTATGCTGTCAAAGTAGCCTCAATCAGCCTGCTATTTAGGCATATTTATCTACGAGACTGTGGAACTTATTAAATTAGGATGAAATAAAACGTTAAAGTCTATCTAAGTTATATGTAGTGTAGCTGTGTCAGTCCCAAGATAGAGAGACATGGTGGGTGAGGTAACATCTTTTATTGGACCAACTTCTGCTGGTGAAAGAGACACACTTTTAAGCCAAAGAAAGCTCTTCAAGTCACCTTGTCTTTCTAAAGTTTACTTAAGATTTTCACGTGCTCCAAACAATTGGACTACACCAGGTAGAGCCTGATGAAGATGGAACTGCATCATCACATTTGTAAGGCTGTGAGGAGCCAAAACAGCACTGTGAAGCTGTCTGTATCAGCTCACCATTCACATTTCAAAAAATACCTTCACCACCATAAGGGATAAAAACTTTATTTGGTAAATTAAAACTTGAGTTCTGCTCAACTTGGGTTACGCAAGTCCTTCACCAGGGCAAATTTCATGCTCATCAGACATCAGGGTTTTTCCAGCCCTACCCACTGAAACACTGCAGAAAGCAGTTGGAAACAATTTCCGCAGTTGTGCACATTCCTGCTAATAACAGAAACTGGTGCACAGAGGCAGCAAACAAAAGGCAATCCTGGCGACTTCTGTTATGTTAGAAACAGAAAGGGGTGGGGGAGAAAATCTGTGTTTGTCAAATGGAAAAAAAATGGTAGTGGAAAAGCCGTTTCTAGTTTGTGAATATGTTGTAAACACTGAAATATTTTTTTTAAAAAACTAGATAGTGTGTGTTTCACAGCGATCTATGAAGTTTCCTGTGAATGGTTCTGCTCAATTAATATTTTCTTCTAAAATCAGTCCACTCTTCCACTAGTTACACTGATCAGTTTCAGATGCGGGATTGTTTAACGATTTTTAACTGAGCCATAAAAAACATGCACAAACAGAAAAAACCCTGGAAATTAAAGTGTGGTTCTACTCAGAAAAATCAACTCCATAAAAATGGAATCCTGGGGTTTCATAAAGATGCCAGATCTATTTTTTTCAGCTTTGATACTTTTTGATGCTAGTGCTACAAATGTGAACTGGGATCTCGGAGAAAAGCAGTGGTCTTTCTAGTTTGTACATCAGCATCAGTAAAACTAGTGGCACTAGTTACATCTTTGTCACTCCACGGTCTTCAAATTCTGCCCTCGGCTATAATTGCGAAACCACTTTGTTTTCAGTGTGGACGCACAGGATATACTGTGGGCAAAAAGTGACCCTGAACATGGAATTTACTTAATGAGTTTTAGGATGATTGAAGAACAAGATTCATCTCACTCTCCTGCATTGCCTGGGGAGGGCTAACACTAGTAAAAGCTTTTGGCTAAATTAAGACAAGCTCACAGCACTCATGGAGGAGCTCTGCTATTAAAACCAGGCTATTTTTACATAAGACCTTTTCAGATTAGAGCCAGGCTTTAAGGCTTTAATTTGTTCTTCTACCTATGTCTTTTTGCATACTTTAAACCATCCCTAAAACAGCACTTTCCATGAGCAGGAGGTAACACCCGAACTGTACACACAGTGCCATGACAGTTTAGTTCGAATTCTTTACGTTTTTCAAAGAAAATAAGTAAACATGATACTTAATGTGAAATATTCACTCAGTCCTACATTTTCAGAAGTGACTAGTGATTTAGGTGCTCAACTTAAACCTTACAAACAACACTTGATTTTCAGTGAGCGCTCAATACTTTCTGAAACTCAGACACCTTTAAGATGTCCCTAACTGGGTGCCCCAAAATTGAAGCACCTGTAATCCTTAGTCATTTTGAAAATATAGGCTTCTAATACCCAAGCAAGTTACCTAGGTCAAGATGAAGCCTTACCTGAACTTGCAGCGGAGAAGAGAACTGTAGCAGTGATGAAAAGCAGTGCCTGTAAGGGTCTGGGATCCGGATGCATAGCGCCAGATTACAGAAATTGAAAGAGTTCCAGACTAAGACAAGGTACTGAAAAAACTATAAACAAGAAAAAAAAAGTCTACAGTAAATTTCAGATACTCTTTCCTTCTTTGCATACCGTTGACAGAAATGCAGTCTGACATTTGATTCAAGTAAATTCAAACCTTTAAGAACTAGAGATTTTCCATATCTAAATGTGATACTTCCCTCTTGGCCAACACACCAGAGACTGAATCATAGACCCTCAGAGCTAAGAACATGAGTGGCTACATCTTGGGTTAATTCGCCAGTGGTCTGTGGGTTATATAAGCACATGACAATACTCCAGATAAAGTAGAGACAAATCAGAAGTTTGTAGATGTTTTAAAAATTGTATCTGCCAAAGATTGAGAAATTATAGATCCAGAGGAAAAAATCATGGTTCTTGTACTGATTTATCAATCAGCCAGCATTGTTATTTTATCACAGATATGTGAGAGCACTTATGAATTCTGACATACTAGAATACTAGATACAGATACAAAATATGTATTATGCATAGAAATCCAATCTGGATTTGACTTTAATGGGATTCTGCTCAGACATAAAAGGTCTCCCTGGATGGAGCAACTTGCAGATTATGGGCCTGTGTTTATCGAGCACCAGCCATTATTTACCCACTACTTACCTCAATTTTACATTCACTGATCTAAACCTCAAAGTGCTCAGATTCTGGAATTTCAGATTTTTTGAATTTATCAAGTGCACATAAGAAGAGTCCTAATTTACCAAATATTTTGTGTCCCTTTGTGCTCTGTAAAACTCCATTCTAAATAAATGGGGGTGGGGGAGGATTAATATTTCAGACCTTACTGGCACTGAAAGGATTTTAAAAAATAATAATGGTTAGCTCTTATATAGCGTTTTTCAGAGTACATCTCAAAGAGCTTTGAGTGGAATTTGATTAAAAATCAGAATTGACCATCTTAAACTTTTCCTTCCAACCCAGAATGTCAAAACCAAAGCTCATTATTGAAGCCTTCACCTTGGAAAGAAGAGGCACTCTCAAAGCAACCAATATCCTTCACAAAACAGAAACCGTCTGAGGAAACCCCTCGTTCCAAAATAAATTAAAGATTCAACTTCTATGTCTCCCTATATATTTTAGGCTAGAGTTTAGGCCAGAGGTCCCCAAAGTGTGGGGCCCAGCATGGAGGACCATTCGGGTGCCCGGCAGGGCCCAGTCCATCCCCCATGGGGACGGGGAGGGAGCATCACCCAGCCTCTACCAACCCCCAGTTCTGCTCTGCTCCCACCCTAGCAGCATCCCCGGCTTCTGTCCCCAGCCTAGGCCACTGGCAAGCCCAGAAGTGGAGCCGCGCCTGGTTGCAATCCTGGATGCCTGTGGCCCCAGCCCCAGCCTTGCCCCCCTTACCCCTGTCCATGTCCTCTTCCTTCCCCTGCACCTCCCCCAAGCTGCAGTCCCGCTCCTGGCCTCGGGGGGGCGGGTGGGAGCAGGAGGGGCACAGACAGGGGTAATGGGGGGCATGACCCTCAAAAGTTTGGGGACCACTGATTTAGGCTATTTCTAATATAAAACTTTCCTTAAGAAGGAAGTACACTGGACCCTCACTAGAACATGGGATCTGGGATCCACGCATGGTACCGGTGTATGTGACATGTACCGTTTACCGTGAGTCTTGACAATTTAGTTAAAATACTTTACATTTTCCAACTTAAGCTTGCTAATCCGGTTACTAGGCAACGATCTTCAGAGCGTATACCCCAAAATACTGAAATCTAGCCAGAAAAATATTGTTTGTAAAAAATCTGATCAACAGTCGCCAGGAATGTGACCCAAAGTTGGCTATGTTTGACATAGTAGTTATTATTATGTAACTCAGCCATTGTTCATAACAGAGAAATAAACTTAGCCGACCTACTGAAATACACAAGTGGTTTTCATTCTTTTGTTATTGCTTCACTGGAACATCATGCAGAGTATGTATCTGCTGACTTTTATAAAAGTCAAATAGCAATTTAAATATTTAATTGTCAAAAATTACCAATATCTATCTCAAATTATTTTCTTCATCACACATGTGGTCTTCTTCTACCCTCTCATCCCTCAAATCATAGATTATTGGACATTAATTACACAGGCTTATAAGCTACATCTTTTGTATTTCTCCAGATAGATAATTATGCATTCAGTTACACTATGTAGATTAAAAAAACCTCAGCACCTCTTTTCCAAGAATTTTAAAACACACACACACACACACACACAGAGTGCAATTTAATTCCACAGAAGGACTTTAAATACTGTCACTAAATATTGAAGAAGCTCACAATGGAACCATAACCAGAAAAGTTGTACAGAAAGCCAAATGATTTATCCACAAAATAGTCCACACCAGATCTCAATTTTGCATTTCATAATATCAACCACACCATGAAACAATCAACCTATCCTGCTGTCAGCTGTTATATACACCGAACTCTCAGATCGTACATTTCTGACACTTGTGTCCCACCCATTAATGGAGACAAGTTCATGTTCCTTTCCAAAACCCCTAATATCTGCATATGGTATTTACACAAATTCAAAAAAGGAGAAAAAATCTGTAAACATTCATCTAAATGCCTCCCCTGATATTTAAATACACTGCTTCACAGTTACCGCATTTATTAACCTAGGCTATACAAGGAAGTATCTGTTGATAACATTCACTGCATTCTTTAAGTGCTTCATGTCAGCAATTTCTATGAAAACATACATCTGATGTACAGGTTGGATCATGGGCTCTGCTGGTCTAATGTACACTGCTCAGAAAAGGATGAGAGCCAAAATGTGGTACAGGATACAAATGTTTCAATTTGAAAAATGGAAAGCAGTACTGTAACTTTCACATTCTCAAAGCTTGAAGCTCAAAGTAGCATGATAAAAATGCAAAAAAGTATTAGATCTTAACAGGAGTACAAGAACACTTCATGTTTCCTAGAGGCTACTTACTTATTGCTGTTTTTTCATGCATATTACATTTAAATTTAAAAAATGGTTCAAGGGGATCCTACTGAATTAAGTTAGGAAATGCACCAAATTAAGGTTTGATCGGCCTGCGAGACCGTTCAGTAGTTCTAGGTGCCTCACTCTTAAAGAGTCCAACAATTGCTAATTCCTTTAGCGAGCACTCAAGGATATTTTTGGTAACACAGATGGCAGAAAAAACTAGCTGTGTAGAAAGTGCTTGGTTTATTTGAATATTCACTTGGTTCAAGGGCAGGATAGCTACCCCACTAGCAAGCACACAGGACAAAGTAAACATTCAGAGAACTTGTTAACATGAACCACTTTTCCGAAAAGGGTGGGGGGTGGTGTTTCTTTTTGCCAAATCTTTCCTCAACTATTTATTTATAAAAAGCAATGAAACGTAAATTCTAGGTCAACTTTAACCCCAGTGCACGAGGCTACTGGGTTACACTGCAGCTGTCTTTAACCAAGGCAAAGCTCATTATCTTCAACTAAACCTTATCATATGAAATCTCTCCTTTATCCATTCTCTGATTTCCTTCTGTTTATCTTTTTTACATGTTCCTTATTGCCAGTGTCAACAGCTATTCTGCTCTTTTGATCTTTTAGTAGGCTTGAATGACAGTGCAACCAATTACAGTGTATTATGTATACAGAAAAAACTGCACAAGAATTCATGCATGTGCCTAAGTATCCTGCGACGGAAAAATACCACAAGTGTGATATAAGAAAAGGAGTACTTGTGGCACCTTAGAGACTAACCAAATAAATTGGTTAGTCTCTAAGGTGCCACAAGTACTCCTTTTCTTTTTGCGAATACAGACTAACACGGCTGTTCCTCTGAAAAGTGTGATATAAAAAACTTTAACGAATCTGAAGTAATCAGCTGTAAAAGCAATATTAGTGTTTAGGCACTTGTTTCAAATTCAATTTTAAGACAAGACACTGATGTTGCAAAAATTGGTATCTAAATATTGGCATCTGCTCAGCCCTTTTGTCATTTTTATACTTTGTTATCAAGGAGCACCTAAGTAAGTGGAACATTTAAGCTGAACAATGTCTGGAGAATAAAGGCTGCAGTACCATATATTAAAGCTTTCCTTTTACTGTACTTATGTCTCATAAATATCAACAAAGAAAAATGATTTTATAATGTATTAGGTTAATTACTTTCCAGCTGATGACCTATCAATGGCCTACATCAGTGGTTCTCAACCAGGAGTCCGGGGCTTCCTGGGGGCCTGCGAGCAGGTTTCGGGGGGGCCGCCAAGCAGGGCCAAGACTTGCTGGAGCCCAGGGTAGAAAGCCAAAGCCCCACCTCATGGGGCTGAAGCCCAGGGCCCTGAGCCTTGCCACCTGGGGCTGAAAGTGGAGCCTCAGCAGCTTAGTTTTGCGGGGCCCCCTGTGGCATGCGGCCCCACATATTTGCCCTGCTTGCTACCCTTTATCGCCAGCCCTGGCTCTTATATGCAGAAAACTAGTTGTTCTGGCACAGATGGGCCATGGAGTTTTTATAGCCTGTGGGGGGAGCAGGGGAGCTCAGAAAGAAAAAGGTGGAGAACCCCTGGCCTACATGAAATGGTCAGGGCAGCAGCACATGTATTTGCCCTCAGTGGCCATGCAAGGGCACCCACTTTCAGACTTCCCACTCCCCAATCCGTCACCTCTCTTAGCCCTGGTCTACACTATGAGTTTAGGTCGAATTTAGCAGCGTTAGATCGATTTAACCCTGCACCCGTCCACACAACAGTTTCACCTCCATTGTGCAGTTATCCTCCATCAGCTCTGCCGTTAGGGACTTCTTGGATCACACTTTGTCTGGAAATCCACTGCCCTTGACCATTCTGACATGGGTGACCCTAAGGGAGTACGTGACTCCAGGTACCATCCCTCTTGGGGTCACTGAGACACGCAAGCCTCACCTTGTAGTGGTGGAGGTGATCCATGGAGAGGACGTGCTAATAAGCTTACCAGGGCTCACCCCAATCCTAACACGGGCTGTGGCAGAAGCAGTCCTTCAAATCCCCACCCAAGGGGATTAAAC